TACATCCAAGAGCTGAACCTCCCCTAGGAAGTTCAGCACTATGACTACCTTTTATCCGACGGGCTCTGATGGGCCCCTAAGTCAGCTTGCTTAATCCTTAAACTTGCAGGCATGAGACAAAATAAAGATGAGCTGTCCTGTTTGTCACTAATGGGACCTAGGAATCCCCAGGGAACCTGGCTTTGCTCTGACATGGTAGCTCCACTTGCAAACACTTCTGGCTAGAAAGCTATGGGACATTTGTGGGTGCCCTCTATTTCTGTCTTCTTTCTCTTGGAAAGCAGTAAGGGGTCGCTGGCTCTGTGGGACGAGTCGGGAATCTGCAAGGGGGGAGCAAGCCTGCTAGTCCTCTGCTCCAGCTTCCACTCATGCACACTGCCAAGAAGGCTCTCAAACGCTTTCCGTTGCCATCCTTGGATCCTCAGCTTTATCACCAAAACCTTTCCAAACAAAATGCAACTGAGGGGCCAGGCACCAGTGGCTCACACCTGTAATCCTAGCTACTCAGGAGGCTGAGATCTGAGGATTGAGGTTCAAAGCCAGCCCAAGCAGGAAAGTCCATGAGACTCTTATCGCAATTAACCACCAGAAAACCAGAAATGGTGCTGTGGCTCAAATGGTAAAGGCTAACATTGAACTAAAAAGCTGAGGGATAGCACCCAGGCCCAGCGTTCAAGCCCCACCACTGACAAAAAAAAAAGCAACTGAGGGGCTGGGAATGTGGCTTAGTGGTAGAGCACTTGCTTAGCAAACATGAAGCCCTGGGTTCAGTTCTGCAGTACCACATACACATAAAAAGCCAGAAGTGGCACTGTAGCTCAAGGGGGAGAGTGCTAAACTTGAGCAAAAGAAACCCAGAGACTGTGCCCAGGCCCTGAGTTCAAGCCCCAGGACTGGCCAAAAAAAAAAAAAAAGCAACTGAGTTATGGTCTCTGTGGGCTGGAAGAGACACTTGCTCCTCTTGCAGGATGACATTATTGACGACGTGGAGAGTTTTGTTGCTGCTGCCGAGATCCTGAAGGAGAGAGGAGCTTACAAGATCTATGTTATGGCCACACATGGCATTCTGTCCGCCGATGCCCCCCGCCTGATTGAGGAGTCCTCCATCGATGAGGTCTGTGTGTGCTGGAACAGTTTGGACCATGCATCCAAAGTCAGGATTTGTTGCTGTGCTTTCTGTGAACGATAAAGGACTCCACTGGTCATTAGCTGCTCAATCTCCTGCTTACAGCTAGCAGCTTTGTTGAGGATGTCTACTTCGACATACACACCTCTCGTATTTGTTATTTCCACTCCTTAGTGTAATTTGACACTGTAGTGACATTTGAGACTTGACTTCTTCCCAGCATGGAGCTGGGACTCACTACACTCTGTAGTGAGTATAGGACATTTCTCAGAATTTGATTTCTGTGTTCTTTTTTTTTCCCCCAAAGTCTGAAAATTTGGTATCTGATGCTTTTGCTCATTATTTAGCACTCCACCTGCTGAGCCACATTGCTAACCTTGAGTTCTGTGTTCTGAGCCACCTAACCTTTCCCTGTGTAGAACTGGTTTAGTCTGTAAAGCTATAGCTGAGCGCCAGTGGCTCACACCTGTAATCCTAACTACTCAGGAGGCTGAGATCTGAGGATGATAGTTCAAAGCCAGACCAGGCTTATGTTACCTCCAGCTAGCCACCAAAAAGCTGGAAGTGGAGCTGTAGCTGAAGTGGTAGAGTGCTAACCTTGAGCAAAGAAGCTCAGAGAATTTAAGCCCTAAGACTGGCACCAAAAAGAAAACAACAACCAAGCAGAGCCAAAAGGGCAAGAGGCATATGGTCAGCCCTGGGTAGCAGGCTTAAAACCCTGAGTTTGAACCCTAATACAAACAAAAAAACCTCTAGCCCAGCACTGAGGGCTCAGGCCTGTAGTCCTAGCTACTCAGGAGACTGAGATCTGAGGATCATGGCTCAAAGCCAGCCTGGGCAGGAAAGTCAAGTGCCATGGCTCAAGTGGTAGAGCACTCGCCTTGAGTTGAAGAGCTCAGGGACAGCACCCAGACTCAGAGTTCAAGCCTCATGACCTACCAAAAAAAAAAACCCTCTGGAACAAAATCTCATTGGGATTAGAGCTGTGGACACTGCCAGCACTACCTTTCAGAGTCACTGTGTTTATTTTCTTCTGCCGTCTGCCTAGGTGGTGGTGACAAATACGGTCCCTCACGAGGTCCAGAAGCTGCAGTGCCCCAAGATAAAGACTGTGGACATCAGTCTGATTCTTTCTGAAGCCATTCGGAGAATCCACAACGGGGAGTCCATGGCATACCTCTTCCGGAACATCACAGTGGATGACTAGCCCATGGGTGCCTCCACCCTGGAACTACAGAGGACAGCACTACAGAAGAGTGCCACGGTCACGTGCAGTGTGTCCTGGCAGGGGAGGATGGAGCGGTCTCTCACCCAGACTGCTTGGGGAGGAGGCAATAAGATGGGCAAGGAGCTCTCGAGGGGATAAGGAAGAGGCCTTAACTGTCCACCCTGTACCTTAGCAGAACTTGCAGAAGTTCTCCTGGATAGAAGCGAAACTCTAGTTGATAATGAATATATAATATGAATATATAGGGCTTTATTATTTCTTCCCAGTGTTTCAGCTCTGGGTGTCACGTTGAACTTGATCAGGGAATAGAATGGCCCTGGAATTGGTTCTGTCTAGTTGTCCTCTCCCTAGTTAAGCTTATATAAGTTTTATATAGAGAATCTTTTTTTTTTTTTTTTTTTTTTTTAGAAACTACTGTGCCATCTGGGCAGGGTAGCACTGCCTATAATCGCAGCATTTGGGAGGCTGAGGTAGGAGGGTCTCAGGTTTGAGCCAGCTTGGGCTGCAAAGCAAGTTCAGGCCAGCCCAGGCTGCATAGTTAGACACTGCCTCAAAAAAGAAAGAACAAAATAAGCTAACAGAAATTGCTGTGCTTACTGCCATCAAACAAACATTGGTGTCCTCGCTCCTCTTGAGGTTTCAGTTAGAGAATAGAGCCTATTTCTGGGCAACTGCATTGCTCTGAAATTGCAAATAAAATAACTTTTTTGTCTCTCTGGTCTCTTCCCTTGGTTCACAGCTCCCTGATCTCCTACCTCCCCCCCCCCTCCCCCCAACTATTGACTCACATCAGCCAGACTGTAGAAAGCACTGGCTACAAAATAAAGGGTGGTCAGGGTCCAAGGCTGCTGTGGACCTAAGACACAAGTCTCCTGCGCTCCAGCCTTCCCTCAGTGTCCGACTTCAATCCTTGTTGAAGGTGTAAGTTCACAGGAGAATGAAGTGAGCTGTCAGTTTCCTCTGTCAATGTAACATTAACTGCATGCTTAAGGACTGAGCTTTCCTCTGAATCTCAGCACTGTAGTCTGCCTGTCAAGAAGATTCATTGCAAATGCAGCAAGCCGGGCTTTTTATCCCCCGGAGCCTGCACCAAGTCAGGACAGAGGAGCGTCTGCTGGGAAATGAGCTGGGGTTGCTTTGGGCTCTCAGCTCCTGAGAAACAGAAGTTCCTTTATTTGTACAATTGTATTTCTCTGTTGGGGAGGTTTCCTCTACTTTTAATCCCTTTCCTGAGGACAAGAAAACTTCCCAGTCCGCAATCAAGACCTTAAGCACATTGGCTTTTTCAGTACACAAATAACTTGCCTTCTGTGAATGATCCAAGTACACAGGCTAGTTCAAGGAACTCAACCATTAAAATAATGAGTAGTGGCAGAGGAAGAGCTGGGTACAGCTGAGCAGAGGACCTGGTTCTTAATAGGTTGAACAGATGACATAGTGTTTTGGGAAGGTGACTGGGAAGGTGGCTTGGTGGTAGAGCACTTGCTTTGCATGTACCAGGCCCTAGGTTTGATTCCTCAGCAGCACATAAGCAAAAAAATCTGAAGCGGTACTTTTGCTCAAGTGGTAGAACGTTCACCTTGAGCTGAAGAGCTGAGGGACAGTGTCCAGGCAGAGTTCAAGCCCCATGATGGACCAAACACACACATACACACAAAAGATTATAAAGCTGAGCTACAGAGGGGTTAGAGCACTAGCCTTGAGCTGAAGAGCTGAGGGACAGCGTCCAGGTAGAGTTCAAGCTCCTTGATGGACCAAGACAAGGTTATAAAGACGATGTACAGAGGGGTTACAGTTACATTAACTAGATATAGAGTATACTTCTTTTTGGATATGTCACAGTGTCCCATGCCCTCGCCCAGTCTTTCCCTCTCATCCCCACCCACAAGATGTATAGTTGATTTTCCAGGTGGAATCTGAGTACTGAGTACCACTGCTGCATTTGCCTTGAGCTTTTCTCCCTCCCTCCCTCCCTTTTTCCTCCCTCCCTTCCTTCCTGACTTCCTGCTTCCCTCCCTCCCTTCCTTCTTCCCTCCCTCCTTCCTTCCTTCCCTCCCTCCCTTCCTCCCTGACTTCCTCCTTCCTTTCCTCCCTCCCTGACTTCTTCCCTCTCTTCCTTCCTCCCTCCCTCCTTCCCTCCCTCGCTTCTTCCTCTCTCTCTCCCTCCCTCCTTCTCTCCCTCCCTCCCTCCTTCCCGCCCTGGCTGACTTCCTCTCTCCCTTCCCTTTTTGTTTTCCCGCGGGCGCTCTCCCTCTTGAGTCAGGCTCCACTTGCGGCTTTGGGGTGGGAGTGCCGTAGACCTGGGCCGGCTGCCCGCGTGTCGGGCGGGCGGAGCGCGCAGGCCGGGCTCCCGCTGGGGGCCTGGCACGCGGAGCCTGGGACGCGCAGGCCCCGCGACGCAGCCGCCAAACGACTGCCGGCCTCGAGCCGGGCGAGGGCAGTGGAGCCCCGGCGGCCGCGGACCTGACCGGAGCTCCGGTCGCTGGACCCCGCTGGAGGCGGCAGCCGGTTCCTTCTCCAGTCCTTGACACCCCGACCCCGACCCCGACCCCGGGGCGGCTGGGAGGGGGCAGGCCCCCGGCCCCCCTCCCCTGCGGCGGACGGTGAGCGGGGCGCCGGCCCGCGGCCCCCCGGCCCCGGCGCGCCATGCCGCCCCTGCTGCTGAACACCCGCGTCTCGCTGGGGGAGCTGGTGGACCTGGCCATCGGCACCCCGGAGGTGGGCGCCGTCAACTTCACGGCGATGCACACGCTGCTCATATCCCTGCTGAAGACGCTCAACCTCCAGGACACCACCATCGACTACCAGCCGGTGATTACGGAGCGCGGCCTGCCCGAGAAGCTGGCGGCCGCCCCGCCGCCGCGGCCGCCGCCGCCCCGGGAGAAGGAGCGGCGCCGCAGCAGCCTGGGCAAGACCGCCTCGCAGGCCCAGGCGCTCGAGAGCCAGGTGAAGGACCTGGGCGGCCAGGTGAACGACCTGGGCGGCCAGGTGAGCGACCTCAACAAGCAGATGAAGACCATGGACACGAAGGTGCAGGGCATCGTGACGCACGTGGAGCTCTTCACCTCCCAGGCCGGCGGGCTGGACCAGGAGTACCGCGCGGGGGAGGAAGACATGATGGTATCGGCAGAGCCATGGAGAAGGAAGGGCCAGGAAGGCCTCGAGGAGACCGCCTCGGCCACCCTCATAACCAGCGCCCAAGGGCCGGGGAAAAGGGCCCCCAAGATGCGACCTGAGGACATAGCCAAAGGCCCCCAGGCCAAGTTCTGGTCGGGCCCTAAAGACTTAAAGGAATATACCCCAGAGGAGGTACGAGCCCACCTCGGGCACCCTCGGTGGGCATTCTCCGTGCCAAGCTGTTCCCCTGCCCCAGGAAGGCAGGTGGCCAAGGGGTGGGAAGAGGTGGAAATGGGGGGGGGGGGGGGAAGGCCTGAATGGATGGGAATGGGTCCCATACAGCTCTTGTTTTGCTTTACAGACCCAAGAGCTGCTCCAGGACCTCATGGAAGAAGTAAAAACGCTGAAAGATGCTCAGCAAAAGGTACAGGAATTGCCGGCATTGCAGCCCCTGGTAAGGAAGCCTGGGACTGCTACCTTGGGAGCAAAATAGCTCTTTTCCACCCCCTTCCTGACCCTCGACTTCAGATGCACAGTGGCCTCAAGGGGATTACCACCTTCTTCCAAGATTCTTAGATTATGTGGGGTGCCCATGGCTCATGCCCATGATCCTAACTTCTCAGGAGGATCTGAGGATTGGGTTCAAAGCCAAATTCAAGAGACTCATCTCCAATTAACCAACAAAAGGCCAGAAGTTGAGCCAGGGGCTCAACTGGTAGTGTGTCAGCCTTGAATAAAAAAAGCCAAATGACAGCTGGGAAGGTGGCTCAGTGGTAGAGCTCTTGCCTTCCATGCATGAGGTCCTGGGTTCAATTTCTCAGCACCCCATAAGCAGAAAAAGCCGCAATTGGCCCTGTGGCTCAAGTGGTAGAGCGCTAGCCTTGAGCTGAAGAGCTGAGGGACAGCACCCAGGCCCAGAGTTCAGACCTCATGACAGGCAAAAAAAAAAAAGCCAAATGAGAAACACAAGGTCCTGAGTTCAAGTCCCAGTACCAATACACACACACACACACACACACACACACACACACACACACACACACACACACGAATAAAAATAAAGGCTAGCACAAGTTATAAGAAGCAGAGTAAAATTTAGCAGTTTGCGCAGTCCCTCTTTAAAGGCTTTTCTCTCTGTGTGGCACAGACACACAGACTGCTGCTGAAGCCCCTGGTACTTGTTTAGTGAGAGGCAGGATAGACCTCATGCCTCAGTTGCTACAAGGTTCCAATAGTGACACTAACTGCCCAGCACCCTCATCCACCCCCTGCACCCACTTCCCTTCCTCTTGTTCTTACCAGCCAGGCTTGGCTTGGCTGGCCAGGCAAAATTAGAGAGAAATGAGAAAGACTTCCCCCCTGAAAACACCTTCTCTGCCTGGTGCCGGTGGCTCACGCCTGTCATCCCAGCTACTCAGGAGACTTGAGATCTGAAGATCTTGGATCAAAACAAGCCTGGACAGGAAAGTACATGAGACTCTTATCTTTAATGAACCATCAGAAAACTGGAAGTGGCACTGTGGCTCAAGTGGTAGAGCGCTCGCCTTGAGCTAAAGACCTGAGGTACAGTACCCAGGCCGAGAATTCAAGCCCCACAACTGACAAAAAAGAAAAAACACTTTCCTTCAAGACAAGACAGACCCCACACACACATACTTCCTCTTCCCCTTCATGTGGAGTCTGTGTGTGCACACATGTACACACAGGTGTATATGGAGCACCCCAGGAGAGTAGTATGATGCTCTGTTTCTGATCTGTGCTTCCAGGAACTCCTCCAGCGCATTGAGAAAATGGAGAGGCTACTCAGGGATCGGGATGAAATCCTGGTAACGTGGGCAGCTTGGGAAAAGGGCCCTTGGGAAACAGGAGTGGGGTGGGGCTCGGTCTCTCCTCTCTGGGATTGAAATGTCCCCTCTGTGCATGTGTGTCCCTCTAAGATGGTGGAGGGTGGCGGCTCGTTCCTCTGCCTCTCTAGGCACTGGTCTAGGACTAAGGGGGAATCCTTTCCATCCCTGCTCAGGGCTCTGTTGGGGGCCAAGTGAGACAAAGAACTGGCTGCAGGGTCTGGAAGGCTAGTGAATTATCCTGGGGCTAGGGCTGTGCAAAGTTATTTTGGTCAAGTCTGTTCTTATACCCCCCTGGAATTAGACTCTGTGTGTGTGTGTGTGTGTGTGTGTGTGTGTGTCCCTGACTTGTCTGTTACCATCAGGAACAAATAGGCCTGAAGCTAAATTCTCTTACCCGAGGAGATGAGGTCACCATGGTCACCTGGGAAGACCTGGAGCAAGCTATCACCGATGGCTGGAAGACTTCGCAAATGGTGAGCAGACAGGGGCCTGGGCGGGATCCCCAGAACCTTCCTCTGCTTACCACTACAGGGCATCAATATAAATTATGTTCAGCATTCATTGCCCAAGTTCCATATTGTTGACACTTAAAAAAATTTTTTTTTCAGCCAGGCACTGATAGCTCACACCTGTAATCCTAGCTACTCACAAAGCTGAGATCTGAGGATCATGGTCCGAAGCTAGCCAGGGCAGAAATGTCCATGAGACTTATCTCCAATAAACCACCAAGAAAACCAGAAGTGGAGCTGTGGTTCAAAGTGGTAGGGCATTAGCCTTGAGCAAAAAAAAAAAAGCTCAGGGGAAATGCCCTGGTCCTGAGTTCAAGCCCCAATACCAACAAAAATAAATAAATATTTTTCAGGCTTATAATAATTGCTTCAAGATGACAGCCACGCAAGTGAATAGGACACATGGCTGGAACTTTGTGATTGCTCCAGGTGTTGTCAAACTGTTTTTGCTATCAGCTATTTCTGCCCAATCTCCTAACCTATAGACAGGCAAGAACTTATTCCTTGACCCACTACCCACAGGACAGGTCATTTAATACCCATTTAAGTGTGTGTGTGTGTGTGTGTGTGAGAGAGAGAGAGAGAGAGAGAGAGAGAGAGAGAGAGAGAGAGAGAGAGAGAGAGAGAGAGAGCGCACATGCACACACATATGCTAGTCTGCAGGAGATTGGGTAAACATGGCTGATAGGGAAAACAGTTTGGTAATAGCTAGCCCAATCGCAAAGGCACGTCTCCATTTCCAGCAACGTGTTCTATTCACTTGTGTAACTGTCATCTTGGAGCAGTTATTATAAGACTGAAAAATACTTTTTTATTGGTCCTGGGGCTTAAACTCAGGGCCTGGGCACTCTACTGCTTGAAACACACATCCACTCCCAGCTTTTTGCCGGTTAAAGAGTTTCACACAGGGCTGGGAAGGTGGCTCAGTGGTAGAGTGCTTGCCTTGCATGCATGAGGCCCTGGGTTCGATTCCTCAGCACCACATAAGCAAAAAGAAAAAAGCTGGAAGTGGCGCTGTGGCTCAAGGGGTAGAGCGCTAGCCTTGAGCTGAAGAGCTGAGGGACAGCGCCCAGGCCCAGAGTTCAGGCCCCACGACCGGACCCAAAAACAAGAGTTTCACACACCTTCCTGCTCTAGATGGCTTCAAACTGCAACCCTCCATCTCAGCCTCCTGCATAGCTAGGATTACAGATGCGAGCCACCAACCTGTTGCCCAATTTTTTTGAGCTTTGCCAATGGGCTGGTTGGAAAATGGTACCCGTTTAGTTTTTGTTGCTTCAGTAGTTTTTCAAACTTTATTTATGGTCCAGCCTGAAATTTAAAAAAAAATGCCTGTTTGAAAGCCAGGCACCAATGGCTCACGCCTGTAATGCTAACTACTCCGGAGGCTGAGATCTGAGGATGGCGGTCCAAAGCCAGCCCAGGCAGGAAAGTCTATGAATCTTTTATCTCCAATTAATCACCAGAAAACTGGAAGTGGAACTGTGGCTCAAGTGGTAGAGTGCTAGCCTTGAGCTGAAGAGCTCAGGGACAGTGCCCAGGCCCAGAGTTCAGGCCCTACAACAGACCAAAAAAAAAAAAAAAAGTATGTTGACTTATTCACAGATGAGGATGGCACATTCCTGAAAATAAGGCCCTTGCAGGAAGCCCCTGGCTTATGGTGACTTTTGTGCATGGGTCAGGTGTCTGTCTATCCTGAAACAGTGCACAGGATGGCTAAAAGATTTTCAAATCCTTCTCTTTCTTCATCTGAATATCCATCAGCCTGTTGTTTTTTTCACTAGCTTTTCACTAGCTTTTTCACTCAAAGCTAGTGCTCTATCACTTTGAACCATAGTATTTCTTCTGGTTTTCTGGTAATTAACTGGAGATAAGAGTCTGACAGCTGGGTACCAGTGGCTCATACCTATAATCCTAGCTACTCAGGAAGCTGAGATCTGAGGATCGAGGTTCAAAACTAGCCTGGGCAGGAAAATCTATGAGACTCTTTATCTCCAATGAACCACCAGAAAACTGGAAGTGGTGCTGTGCCTCAAGTGGTAGAGTACTTGCCTTGAGCTAAAGAGGTCAGAGACAGTGCCTCAGAGATAGTGCCCAGGTCCAGAGTTCAAGCCCCACAACTCATTCTCTCTCTCTCTCTCTCTCTCCACACACACACACACACACACACACACACACACACACACACACACATACACACACGAGTTGACAGACTTTGCTGCCTGGGCTGGCTTTGAACCTTGATCCTCAGATCTCAGCCTCTCCTGAGTAGCTAGGATTACGGGCGTGAGCCACTGGTGCCCAGAATCCTGTTTTAGTTGTTATTGTTGTTTTTTGGTCAGTCATGGGGCTTGAACTCTGGGCCTGGGCACTGTCTCTGAGCTCTTCAGCTCAAGGCAAGCGCTCTACCACTTGAGCCACAGCACCACTTTCGGTTTTCTGAGTGGTTTATTGGAGGTAAGAGTCTTACGGACTTTGCTGCTCTGGCTGACTTTGATCAGAGATCCTCAGATCTCAGCCTCCTGAGTAGCTAGGATTACAGGTGTGAGCCACCAGCATCCCACATCCTGGCTTATTTTTGTGTGGCCCTCACAGAGCAGGATTAACTGCCCTGTTGGTCTTGCTACTACTGTGTGTGTTCCTCAAAGAGGATCGATCACACAGGCCTCCATACAGAAGCCAGGTAAACCAGTTCACTGCCCAGAGCGAGCCTTTTGGCGCCCCTAAGTGGCCATTCCTGGCAGTGCCACCTACTGTCCGAATGCATTAGGTACCTGCCAATTTACAAGACACTTTTCTGAATTCCTGGCACACCCAAAGAAGTGGCATCACAAAGAATTGTAAGAGGACCCTTCAAACAAGTAAGTACCTACACAAGAAAAAGTAGCATCTGCTTTTTTTTTAAGGTACTGGGGATCCAACCCAGGGCCTGGACTCCCACCCCATAAGCCAAAGCTTCTTTAAACATGTGTTACAATCTCATGACATTTAGTGAGCACCACATTCCCTTAGCGTGACAGCAGAGAATACCACAGACGCAAATAAACACAAACTTCTTTAGACATTTTTTTTCTGTAGATGTAAGAAGGCATTGTGTTTATTTGTTTGAAATAGGATCTGGTTGGGCTGGGAATGTGGCTCAGTGGTAGAGTGCTTGCCTAGCATGCATAAAGCCCTGGGTTCAAGTCCTCAGTACCACATAAGCAGAAAAAGCCAGAAGTGATGCTGTGGCTCAAGTGGTAGAGCATTAGCCTTGAACACAGAGAGGCTCAGGGACAGAGCTCAGGCCTTAAGTTCAAGGCCCAGCACTGGCAAAAAAAAAAGGGGTCTGGCTATGTAATCTTGGACTTCAAATACTCCTGTGTCAGCCTCCCAAGTTCTGGGATTGCAGGCATGTACACCACATCTACACAGTATTCATAATCAGAAATAATTCCAAAGGCAAATGAGAATCTATGGTTAAGAGGTTCTGTGTGTGTGTGTGTGTGTGTGTGTGTGTGTGTGTGTGTGTGTGTGTGTGTGTGTGTGTGTGTGTGTGTGTGTGTGTGTGTGTGTGTGTGTGTGTGTGGTTGAGGTTTTAATTCACAGTCTTGTACACGCTAACCAACCACTCTGCTAGAGCCTCACATAAAAAGATTTTTTGGGGGGGTGTGGGATGCTGGTCCAGGGACATGAACTCGGGGCCTGGATGCTGTCCCTGAGCTTTCTGCTCAAGGATAAGCACTCGATCATTTGAGCCACAGCTCCACTTCTGGCATTTTGTGGTTAATTGGAGGTAAGAGTCTCATGACTTTCCTACCCCAGCTGGCTTCAAATCTCCATCCTCAGATCTTAGCCTCCTAAGTAGCTAGGATTTACAGGCGTGAGCTACCGCTATGAAAAAGATTTTTGAGAAGCAGGAGGATGAGCAGGTGCAGTGACAGCTTGTGCCACTGCATAAACCCACTGTCAAGTCTGTCCAGTGGCAGGAAGACACACAACAGGAGTAATGATTGAAGGGTGGGTGGGTCCTGGACAGGAACAGGAAGACAGGACTTTGCATCCAGGTGGGTTTTGGTAGACAATGGAACTATGAGGTGACTATGATGCAGACTTGCATGGTAAACAGAGCCAGGCTGCGTGGGCAGAGGCAGCAGCACGCCCTGGTCAGCTGGGGAAAGGAGCTGGGCTATGGTGCCTCCTTCCTGGCAGCCAACAGCTCAGCAGTCCAGATCTCACATGCAGGTGCCTATTCCAGGCAGGGCTTGAGTGGTAGGATACACACCAATCAGCCCTTCCCAGTAGCCCTTTGGAATATGATCCTCCTAATTGTGCTTCCCTCAATAGCTGGGATGATAGCCACATACCACTTGGTCCAGCTATTGTTTGAGATGGAATGTCTTGAACTGCTTTTGCTCAGGCTGGACGTGAATGTCTCCCCTCCCCCTACCCCAATTTCCGCCTCTAAAGCTAGGATTAAGGCCACTTGTTTGCTTTCTTGCTTCCTTCCTTCCTTCCTTTTTTTTTTTTTTTTTTTTTGGTCAGTTGTAGGGCTTGAACTCAGAACCTGGGCACTGTCCCAGAGCTCTTTTGCTCAAGGTTAACACCCTACCACTTGGAGCCACAGTTCCACTTCCAGTTTTCTGGTGGATAAGAGTCTCATGGACTTTACTTGCCTGGGCTGGCTTTGAACTATAATTTTCAAGTCTCAGCCTCCTGAGTAGAAAGAATTCCAGGTGTGAGCACAGCTCCCGGCCCAAGGGAGTTGTCTAATGAGTAGCTGGGCACTTCTTCATGGCTTTGTTCCTGTACCCCAGGACAACCACAATAGGATGACACTTTTCCAAGTCCTCCTCCTCCTCCTCCTCCTTTTCATGATATAAAGGAACAAAAGATGCTACTGTCAGTGTCTCATATCTATTATCAAAAGGCTGAGGTCTGAGGATCAAGATTTAAAGCCACCCTGGGCAAGAAAGTCTGTGAGACTTATCTTCAATTAACCAGCAAAAAGCTGGAAGTGGAGTTGTGGCTCAAGTGGTAGAATACTAGCCTTGGAGCAAAAAAAACTCAGGGACAGCACCCAGGCCCTGAGTTCAAGCCCAAGACAGGCAAATACACATGCATACACACACACACACACACACACACACACACACACACACACACACACAGAGAAATGGCAATTGTAGACAATAGCATGGTATCACATGCCTTTAACTCTAGTACTCAGGAGGCTAAGACAGGAGAATTCTAGTTTTAAAACCACCCTGGTCTATATCTGTCTCAAAAGCAAACAAAGAATAGTCCTGTTCCTAGCCTGTGAGAATCTGGGCCCTGTTCTTTCTGAACTTACAGGTCTCCTTAGCTCACCAACCCTAGGTGGTCTCACACATGCATACTGACCAAGTCTGTGCTGCTGCTAGAGGGGCCTTTTGCATCTCCCTGAGTTCTGCTGCTCTCTTGTGAGCCTAGCAGCCTGAGTGTTCTTATCACTCAGTTCTGTGTCCTCTCTGTAATGCGGTCTACTACCTTCTCCCAGCAGTAAGCTGAAGGGATACAAGGGTTCATGCCACCCATTTCTCTTATTTTACATCCTTTGGTACCCAATACCCAACATTGGAACACTGCTCTTTCAGCCTTGCTGGGGTTTGGATTTCTCTTCATTTTGGTTGTTACAGAGAAGAGGACAAATCTGGTCCTTAATATTCCATTTCCCTTTTGGATGGAAATGGGAAATGCCCATGATTGGTTTGTCAGGCATTTGTCAGCATCACACTGCAAGGATGTGCCTTAAATGTATCTATTTGTGTGTGTGTGTGTGTGTGTGTGTGTGTATCTCTTTTTTTTTTTTTTTTTTGGCCAGTCCTGGACCTGGGCGCTGTCCCTGAGCTTCTTTTGCTCAAGGCTAGCACTCTACCACTTGAACCACAGCGCCATTTCCAGCTTTTGCTGTGTATGTGATACTGAGGAATTGAACCCAGGGCTTCCTGCATGGTAGACAAGCACTCTGTCACTAAGCCACATTTCCAGCCCCAATCGTATGTATGATATGATCAATGCCACAGCCGGACCCTCCTGTTTGTCTGGCCTTCCTCTGTGGCAGTACCTCGAGGATTTTCAGGACGCAAATTATATGTGCAATATAAACTGCTTGTTTACATGTGTGCTCACCATCAGTGCCTTTTACCAGCAGCAAGGGACTAACAATGAGGCAGATTTTATTTCTTTGTGCTGGTACTGGGCCTTGAACTCAAGGCTTCACACTGTCTTGGCTTTTTCACTCAAGGCTGGTGCTCTACCACTTGAGCCACAGCTCCATTCCAGCCTTTTGATGGTTAGCTGGATAGAAGAGTCTCACAGATATTCCTGCCCAGTCTAATTTCAAACTGTGCTCCTTACTTAGCTTCCTGAGTAGCTAGAATATATAGGCCTGAGTCACCCATTCCTGGCCCAACTTTATATTTAAATTTAAAGAATGGCTTCCATCCTTTATTTGTAGATTCAGTGAAAGTCCAGAGGAGAGTTCAGTTCCTCTTCCTGTCTTTTATGAAGGAAATTACATGTTAGGATGCCATTTATAAATAGGCTGATTTTCAGAAATCTGGTAACCTTCAAGAAGCTGAACTTTTCTTTCTTTCTTTTTTTTTTTCAGTTGTGGGGCTTGAACTCTGGGCCTGGGCACTGTCCAGCTCAAAGCTAGAGCTCTACCACTTGAGCCACAGTGCCACTTCCTGTTTCCTGGTGGTTAACTGGAGATAAGTCTCATGGATGTTCCTGCCTGGTCTGGCTTTGAATTACAATCCTCAGGTCTCTAGGATTACAAGTGTGAGCCATCGATGCCTGGCTGAACATTTCTTCCAACTCTGCTTTTAGTTGTTTTTTGTTTTTTGCCAGTGATGAGGCTTGAACTCAGCATCTGGACACTGTCCTTGAGCTTTTGTTTTAAGGCTAGCACTCTACTCTTTGATCCACAACTCCATTAATAGCTTCCACCACCACCACCCCCAGTCATGGGGCTTGAACTTAGGGCCTGGGCACTGTCCCTTAGCTTCTTTTGCTCAAGGCTAGCAATCTACCACTTGAGCCACAAGCTCCACCTCTCTTGCTGGTTGATTGAAGATCAGAGTCTCATGGCCTTTCCTGCCTGGGCTGACTTTGAACCACGATCCTCAGATCTCAGCCTCCTGAGTAGCTAGGATGACAGGTGTGAGCCACTGGCACCTGGCTCCTTCCTACAATCTTTTTGATTTCTAATTATTTATTCCCTTCTTCCTCTTCACCCAGGGCTCAGAACTATCCGCAGATTCTAGTAAGCGCATGGATAGTTCTGCTGGACTCCCTGGCAAGGGCACAAGTGCTGACCAGGCCGCAGATGCTGCTGGTGCCCCGCATCGCCCCCCTGAAAAAACTCTGAGCAAACAGTTGGGCAAACCTTCCTCTACTGCACTTCCTGGCAGAGAACAACTGCGGGCCCAAGAGGAAGCTGGTGGTCCCAAATCCCAGCCACCTCCTGCATCCCAGGCTGATCGTCGCAAGGCTCGAGAACCATCCTCTGCCACACATTTAAGACGAGATGAACGAGATGCAGGTCCTGGCCTGAGTCAACAGGACTTATCCTCAGCCAGCCAGCAGCAGCCTTATGCACAACCAGACCAGCAAGCGGGGGTGCCCATTGGTCCGGGTCAAGTCTACCAAAGGCCAGATCAGCCCAGATTAGGGTTACCTACCATAGGTCAGCTGGGAAGGCCACGTGCTGGTGTCATCCGCCCACAACGTGTGCCGCCCCAAACTCTGGGTCACCCTGGTATGCAAGCACCTCGAATGGGTGCTCAGGGATTGGTTACACCTGGCATGGATCAGATTGGCATGATGCCATCAATGGTACCTGGCAGAGATCAACAAGGCTTGCAGCTTCCTGGTACAGACCAGTTTGATATGGCTTCCTTCGGTACATATCAACCTGGTGTGATATATCCTGACATGGACCAACAAGCTGTCATGCAGGAAAGTGGGATGGGAGTACCCGGAATGGACCAGTCTGGGTTGATACCAATTGGCGTTGATCAGAATGGATTTGTAATATATGGCACAACTGAGCAAGGACTGGTCCCCCCTGGCATAGATCAATATGGACAGCCTCTACCTCTTACAGATCAGTATGCTTTTATGCCACCTGGCTTGATGCCCATTGGTGTGGACCAACAAGGTTTTATACAGCCCAGTTTGGGAGCCTCTGGCTTTATACAGCCTGGCACAGAGCAGGGTGATTTAGTGCAGGCTGGTGAAGATCAAGGTGGTTTGGTACAGCCTGGCACAGACCAGCAAGGTCCTGTACCTCCTGGTGCAGGTCAGCCTGGCTTGGTCCAACCTGGTGCATATCCACCTCGTTTAGCACAAGTTGGTCCAGATCAGGGTGGTTTAGTGCAGCTTGGGGAAGATCAACAAGGTTTAGTGCAGCCTGGCACAGCTCAGCCAGGCTTGATGCCACCTGGTGCTGTTCCACGTGGTTTGGTCCAGCCTGGTGCAGTTCCTTATGGTTTGGCACAGCCTGGTGCAGTTCAGCGTGGTTTGGCACAGTCTGGCACAGGTCAGCCTGGATTGATGCCACCTGGTGTATACCCACCTGACTTGGTACAGCCTGGTGCAGTTCCGTATGGTGCAGTTCCGTATGGTGCAGTTCCACATGGTTTGGTGCAGCCTGGTGCAGTTTCACGTGGTTTGGTGCAGCCTGGTGCACAGCAGTTTGGAGTGGTGCAGCCTGGTACAGTTCCACATGGTTTGGTGCAGCCTGGTGCAGTCCCACGTGGTCCATTGCAGCCCGGTGCAGAGCAGCTTGGTGTGGGGCAACCTGGTGCAGAACAGCTTGGTTTGGTGCAGCCTGGTGCAGTTCCACATGGTCTGGTGCAGCCCGGTGCAGAGCAGCTTGGCGTGGGGCAGCCTGGAGCAGAGCAGCTTGGTTTGGTGCAGCCCGGTGCAGAGCAGCTTGGTGTGGGGCAGCCTGGTGGAGAACAGCTTGGCGGGGGGCAGCCTGGTGCAGGTCCACGTGGTATGGTGCAGCCTGGTGCAGGTCCACGTGGTATGGTGCAGCCTGGTGCAGGTCCACGTGGTATGGTGCAGCCTGGTGCAGGTCCACGTGGCATGGTGCAGCCTGGTGCAGGTCCACGTGGCCTGGTGCAGCCTGGTGCAGGTCCACGTGGTATGGTGCAGCCTGGTGCAGGTCCACGTGGTATGGTGCAGCCTGGTATAGGTCCACGTGGTCTGGTGCAGCCCGGTGCAGAGCAGCTTGGCGTGGGGCAGCCCAGAGCAGAGCAGCTTGGCGTGGGGCAGCCTGGTGGAGAGCAGCTTGGCGTGGGGCAGCCTGGGGCTATTCCACCGGGTTTTATGCAGCCCGGGGCAGTTCCGCAGGGGATGATGCAGCCCGGGGCAGTTCCTCAGGGGATGATGCAGCCCGGGGCAGTTCCTCAGGGGATGATGCAGCCCGGGGCAGTTCTGCAGGGGATGATGCAGCCCGGGGCAGTTCCTCAGGGGATGACGAAGCCCGGGGCAGTTCCTCAGGGGATGGTGCAGCCCGGGGCAGTTCTGCAGGGGATGGTGCAGCCCGGGGCAGTTCCGCAGGGGATGGTGCAGCCCGGGGCAGTTCCGCAGGATGTGGTGCAGCCCGGGGCAGTTCCCCAGGGTCTGGTGCAGCCTGGGGCAGTTCCACAGGGTCTGGTGCAGCCCGGGGCAGTTCCACAGGGTCTGATGCAGCCTGGGGCAGTTCCTCAGGGGATGACGAAGCCCGGGGCAGTTCCGCAGGGGATGGTGCAGCCCGGGGCAGTTCCACAGGGTCTGATGCAGCCCGGGGCAGTTCCGCAGGGTTTGGTGCAGCCCGGGGCAGTTCCGCAGGATTTGGTGCAGCCTGGTGCTATTCCACAGGGTTTTGTGCAGCCCGGGGCTGTTCCACGGGGTTTGGTGCAGCCCCGTGCAGTTCCGCGGGGTTTTGTGCAGCCTGGGGCAGTTCCACAGGGTTTGGTGCAGCCTGGGGCAGTTCCGGGGGGTTTGGTGCAGCCCGGGGCAGATCAGCTTGGTTTGGAGCAGCCTGATGTAGATCAGGTACAACCGGGTGCAGATCAGAGTGGCTTAGTACAGACTGGTGCAGATCAGCAAGGTTTGGTACAACCTGGTACAGTTCAGCGTGGCTTGGTGCAGCCCGGTGCAGGTCAGCAAGGTTTGGTACAACCTGGTACAGTTCAGCGTGGCTTGGTACAGCCCGGTGCAGGTCAGCAAGGTTTGGTACAACCTGGTACAGTTCAGCGTGGCTTGGTACAGCCCGGTGCAGGTCAGCAAGGTTTGGTACAACCTGGTACAGTTCAGCGTGGCTTGGTACAGCCCGGTGCAGGTCAGCAAGGTTTGGTACAACCTGGTACGGTTCAGCATGGTTTGGTACAGTCCGGTACATATCCATCTGGATTGGTGCAACCTGGTATAGATCAGGCTGGATTTGTCTACCCTGAAATGGATCAGTATGGTCTGTCTCAACCTGGGGCAGTTCCTAGTGGCTTGGTGCAACCAGATGCATATTCACCTGAAATGATGCAGCCTGGTGTGTATCCACCTGGTTTGGTATATCCTGGTACAGATCCACGTAGCTGGGTCCAACCTGGCGTAGGTCAACAAGGTTTAGTCCAGCCAAGAGATGTTCAGTATGGCTTGGAGTGGCCTGGTATGGCACAGCAAGGTTTAGTCCAACCTGGTGCAGGGCAACCAGATTTGTATCCTGTGGGTGAGCTTAATTGGACACAACCTGACCTCAGTCAACGTGGTTTGGCGCAACCTGGTGCAGATGAAAGTGATTTGGAACCTGGAATAGATCAGCCTTCTTTGGAACCACCTGGTGCAGTTGAGCCTGGTTTAGAACTTCCTGGTACAGTTCAGCGTGGTTTGGCGCAGCCTGGTGCAATTCAGCGTGGTTTGGTACCACCTGGTACAGCTCAGCGTGGCATGGTGCTACCTGGTGCAGTTCAGCGTGGTTTAGGGCAACCAGGTATGTACCCACGTGGCTTGGTACCTGGTGCAGTTCAGCCTGGTTTGATACTACCTGGTGCAATTCACCCTGGTTTGGTACCACCTGGTGCAGTTAGCCCTGGTTTGGTACCACCTGGTGAAGCCCAGCCTGGTTTGGTGCCACCTGGTGCCATTAGCCCCGGTTTGGTGCTACCTGGTACAGTTCAGCCTGGTTTGGTGCCACCTGGTGAGGTTAGCCCTGGTTTGGTGCCACCTGGTGCAGTTCAGCCTGGTTTGGTGCCACCTGGTGCAGTTCAACCTGGTTTGGTGCCACCTGGTACAGTTAGCCCTGGTTTAGTGCCACCTGGTGCAGCTAGGCCTGGTTTGGTGCCACCTGGTGCAGTTAGCCCTGGTTTAGTGCCACCTGGTGCAGTTAGCCCTGGTTTAGTGCCACCTGGTGAAGCTCAGCCTGGTTTGGTACCACCTGATGCAGTTCAGCCTGGTTTGGTACCACCTGGTGCAACTAGGCCTGGTTTGGTGCCACCTGGTGCAGCTCCGCCTGGTATGCTGCCACCTGGTGTAGCTCGGCCTGGTATGCTGCCACCTGGAGCAGCTCGGCCTGGTATGCTGCCACCTGGTGTAGCTCGGCCTGGTATGCTGCCACCTGGAGCAGCTCGGCCTGGTATGCTGCCACCTGGTGTAGCTCGGCCTGGTATGGTGCCACCTGGTGCAGCTAGGCCTGGTATGCTGCCACCTGATGCAGCTCAGCCTGGTATGGTGCCATCTGATGCAGCTCAGCCTGGTATGGTGCCACCTGGTGCAGCTTGGCCTGGTTTGGTACCACCTGGTGCAATCCAGACTGGTTTGGTGCCAGTTATGTATCCTCATGGTATGGTACCACCTGGTCCAGATCAGCATGGTTTGGTGCAACCAGGTGCAGATCAGCCTGGTTTGGTGCAACCAGGTATGTATCCTTATGGTATGGTACCACCTGGTGCAGCTCAGCCTGATATGGTCCCACCTGGTGCAGCTCAGCGTGGTTTGGTGCAACAAGGTATGTATCCATATAGTTTGGTACCACCTGATGAAGCTCAGCTTGGTATAGTACCTCCTGGTGAAGTTCAGCCTGGTTTGATACCACCTGGTGAAGTTCAGCCTGATTTGGTACCTCCTGGTGAAGTTCAACCTGGTTTGGTGCCATCAGGTATGTATCCACATGGTTTGGTACCACCTGGTGAAGCTCAGCCTGGTACAGTACCACCTGGTGCAGCTCAGCGTGGTTTGGTGCCACCAGGTATGTATCCACGTGGTATGGTACCACCTTATGCAGCTCAGCATGGTTTGGTGCCACCAGGCATGTATCCACGTGGAATGCTACCACCTGGTGCAGCTCAGCGTGGTTTGGTGCCACCTGGTGCAGCTCAGCCTGGTATGGTACCATCTGGTGCAGATCAGAGTGGTTTGGTTCAGCCTGAAACCATTCAGGATGGTTTGGTACCACCTGGCATGGAACAGCGTGATTTGGTACAACCAGGTCTAAGTCAGCCAAGTTCAGTGCAACCAGAAACGTACCCACATGATTTGGTGAGGTCTGGTACAGATCAAAGTGGTCTGGCATTACACCATCAGGCACATATGCCTCCTTTGTCCCCATACGGTGCATATCCACCAGCTTTCACAGAGACTGATCAGCAAGGTGAGATGGTGCTGGATCATTCTGCTTTAGACCAAAGAGAAACCTATCAGGAGGTCCCAGAAGTGGTTATCTCAGTTCAACCAGGTCCTGACTGGACTGGCCGGTCACGTTTGGATTTGACCAGACTACCTTCCTCAGCCCAAGTCCAAGCTGGACTTCCATACTGGATGATCCCCAGCCCAGAGGCCACCACCTTCAGGAGTCGGGATTCACTTAGCTATCTCCAGCGACGCTCGTCAGAAAGGATGGAAGGCCGCAGTGACCGCCAGGAATCACTGGACAAGCTAGCTCCTTCCTTCCCCATGGCAGTGGAGACATTTCGTCTCTTGGGAGAACTCATTAGCCTCTATTCAGAGTTGAAGGAAAATATGAAGGATATGAAGGAAGAAGCTGGCCTATCAGAAATGGAGAAGCTCCAGCTCATGATCAATATGATGGGTAGGTACCACTTGCTGGTAGAAGAGAGATTACTTCCTCCTCTTCTTCCTCCTCCTCCTCCTCCTTCATTTCATGTGCAAGTCCCAGGGCTTGAACTCTGGGCTTGGGCACTGTCCCTGAACCTCTTTGTGTTCAAAGCTAGAGCTTTACTACTTTGAACCACAGTTCTACTTTTTCTTTTTCTTTTTTTTTTTTTGGGGGGTGGGAGGGAGGGTCCAGTCGTGGGGCCTGAACTCTGGGCCTGGGCGCTGTCCCTCAGCTTTCATTTCAAGGCTAGCGCTCTACCACTTGAGCCACAGCGCCACTTCCAGCTTTTTTTTTTTTATGCTTATGTGGTGCTGAGGAATTGAACCCAGGGCCTCATGCATGCAAGGCAAGCACTCTACCACTGAGCCACCTTCCCAGCCCCACTTTTTCTTTTTTTTTTTTTTTGTCGGTCATAGAGCTTGAGCTCTGGGCCTAAACTCTGTCCCTCAGCTCTTCAGCTCAAGGCTAGTGCTCTGCCACTTGAGTCACAGCGCCACTTCCAGCTTTTTGGTGGTTTACTGGAGATAAGAGTTTCATAGCTTTACCTACCCAGACTGGCTTTGAACCGTGGTCCTTATCTCAGCCTCCTGAGTAGCTAGGATTACAGGTGAGAGCCACCAGCTCCCTGGCTCATTCTTTTTTTTTTCTGAGTAGGTTTTTTGTTGTTGTTGTTGTGGGGCTTGAACTCTGCACCTGCGTGCTGTCCCTCAGCTCTTCAACTCAAGGTGAAGAGTCTCCCACTTGAGCCACAGTGCCACTTCCTTTCTGAGTAGTTTTTAGGAGATGAGTCTCACGGACTTTCCTGCCCAGACTGGCTTCAAACTGTGATCCCAGATCTCAGCTTCCTGAGTAGCTAGGATTACAGGGTAAGCCACCTGAGCCTGGCTTTGTCTTCTTTTTAAGTAGATCTCATGCTTTTCCCTCCCTGCCTTAACCCATGGCTGCTGGACTGATGGATTAAGTCCTGACCCTGAGAGTAGCCAAGTCTGTTCCTAGACCTCCTGGGTTCTCTTTTGTCTTTTTCCTCTGAATGAATAGCAGGCACAGGCTGGAAGGAATCCAACAGGATCACAGGGGCCTTGGGAGAGGAAGGAACTAGATCCTCATGTTTGTCAGACTCCCTGGAGAGTGGCTGGGCTAAGAAGAAACCACGGCATTGAGAAACAAGTGGAGAAGAGAGTGTTGAAGAATGAAACCTAGCAGGCTGGGAAGGTGGCTCGGTGGTAGAGTGCCTGCCTTGCATGCATGAAGCCCTGGGTTCAATTACTCAGCACCACATAAACAGAAAAATCTGGAAGGGACAGTGCCCAAGCCCTGAGTTCAAGCCCCAGAACCGGCAAAAAAAAAAAAAGCCTAAAATTCTAAAATTTGCCCATCACGATTTTAGCAGTATCCAAGTACCCATGGCTCATCTCTGTAATCCTAGCTATGCTAGGATCTGAGAATCTGAGAATCACAATTTGAAGCCAACCCAGGGCACAAAAGTCCCTGAGACTCTTAGCTCCAATTAACCAGAAACAACAACCAAAAACCCAGAAGTGAAAATGTGGTTCGAGTTGTGCCTTGAGCAAAACGGCCAAACAAGAGCTAAAGACCCTGAGTTCAAGCCCCAGTACTGGCACAAAAAGAAAAGATTTTAGCAGTGGGTAGGAATGTGGGTCAGTGGCATCCAGGATTTAGGCTGTTAGCAAGAAGGTATGGGGCTTTCTCTGTATCGCTGTTTATCAACAGTACTCTCTGCATCATCTCACCCCATTGTCCCCGTTATTGGGGAAAGGATAAAAAGAGATATCCTGGGCTGGGCAGGTGGCTCAGTGGTAGAGCGCTTGCCTTGCATGCCTGAGGCCCTGGGTTCAATTCCTCAGCACCACATAAACAGAAAAAAACAGAAGTGGTGCTGTGGCTCAAGTGGTAGAGTGCTAGCCTTGAGCTGAAGAGCTGAGGGACAGTGCCCAGATCTAGAGTTCAGGCCCCACGACTGACAAGAGAGAGGGAGAGAGTCCATAAGCTGCTGCTGCTGCTGCTGCTGCTGCTGCTCCTCCTCCTCCTCCTCCTCCTCCTCCTGTCAGTGGTGGGGCCGAACTCCTGGGCACTGTCCCTCAGCTCTTCAGCTCAAGGCTAGCACTCTACCACTTGAGCCACAGTGCCACTTCCGGCTTTTTTCTTTTTGCTTATGTGGTGCTGAGGAATCGAACCCAGGGCCTCAGGCATGCAAGGCAAGCACTCTACCACTGAGCTACCTGTCCAGCCCTGATTCTTCCTCCTCTTCTTCTTCGCCAGTCCTTGGGCTTGAACTTAGGGTCTGGGCACTGTCCCTGAGCTGCTTTTTTTTTTTTTTTTTTTTTTTGGTGGGGGGGGGGGTCCGGTCGTGGGGCCTGAACTCTAGGCCTGGGCGCTGTCCCTCAGCTCTTCAGCTCAAGGCTAGCACTCTACCACTTGAGCCACAGCACCACTTCTGGCTTTTTTCTTTTTTCTTATGTGATGCTGAGGAATCGAACCCAGGGCCTCAGGCATGCAAGGCAAGGGCTCTATCACTGAGCCATCTTCCCAGCCCTCTCTGAGCTTCTTTTGCTCAAGGCTAGCACTCTTACCACTTGAGCCACAGTGCCACTTCTGGCTTTTTCTGTTTATGTGGTATAGGAATCGAACCCAGGGCTTCATGCATGCTAGGCAAGCACTCTACCACTAAGCTACATTCCCAGCCCTCTATAAGCTTCCTATATCCAATTTGCCCACCAAAAAAAAAAAAAAAAATCCAGAAGTGGAGCTGTGACTCGAGTGTTAGAGTAACAAACCTTGTACAATAAAGTATAGAAATGGTGTCCAAGCCCCAAGTTCAAGCCCCAGTACCAGCATAAGATAGAGACAGAGGCAGAGACAACAGAGAGACATAGATGTCCTCCTGTTATCTGAGGTGTTTCTCTATGAGCCCAGAAATGGTGAGCGGGGGCCTATGGAGCCTGCTAGGTCCTCTGACAGTGGGGCTCCCATTTTCCACAGTCAAAAAGTCACTACCGGATGACCTTCAGGACCAGCTGAAGTACATAAAGACCTTGGCCAAAGAAGTTCGACAAGATAGGATAAAAGTACGTAAGAGAGGGTCCGCCTCCTAAGCTATTTATATATTTATTTGTGGGGGTGGGAGGGGGGCTGTATTGATTTTAGGACTTGAACTCAGACCTGAGCACTGTCCCTTAGATTTTTCACTCAAAGCTGACTCTACTACTTGAGCCACTTCCAGTTTTTTGGTGGCTAATTGGAGTCTCACAGACTTTCCTGCCAGGCTGGCTTCAAACTAAAATACTCAGACTTCTGCTTCCTGAGTAGCCAGGACTACAGGCATGAGCCTCCAGCATCCAGCTCCTTGGCTTTTTAGAGTGAATCTTAGCACTTGCAATTTATGCTTTGATGGATCAGTCCCTCCCCATGTGCTGTTGAATCATTGGTTCCTTACTGTCCTACCAGGCAGAAAGTGTGCCCACCACCATTATGTCCATTTCCTGTATCTAGAAATGGATACTCAAGCTGGGCGCCCATGGCTCATGCCTGTAATCCTAGGTACAAAGGAGGCTGAGATCTGAGGATTGTGGTTCAAAGCCAGCCCGGAAAGGAAAGTCTGTGAGTCTCTTTTTGTTTGTTTGTTTTTTTGGGTCCAGTCATGGGGCCTGAACTCTGGGCCTGGGCACTGTCCCTCAGCTCTTCAGCTCAAGGCTAGCGCTCTACCACTTGAGCCACAGTGTCACTTTCGGCTTTTTTCTTTTTGCTTATGTGGTGCTGAGGAATCGAACCCAGGGCCTCTGGCATGCAAAGCATGCGCTCTACCACTGAGCCACCTTCCCAGCCCTGTCTGTGAGACTCTTAACTCCAATGAACCACCAGAAAACCAGAAGTGGTGCTGTGACTCAAGTGGTAGAGCACTAGCCTTGAGCTGACGAGCTGAGGGACAGTGCCCAGGCCTAGAGTTCAAGCCCAAACAACCAAAAAAAAAAAAAAGATATAACTTGACCAGTTGCTGATGGCTCATACCTGTAATCCTAGCTACTCAGGAGGCTGAGATCTGAGGATTGTGGTTCAAAGCCAGCCCAGGCAGGAAAGTCCATGAGACTATTTCCAATTAACCACCAGAATACCAGAAGTGGCACTTTGGCTCAAAATGGTAGAGCACCCAGCCTTGAGCAAAAGAACTCAGGGACAGTACCCAAGCCAAGTTCAAACCCCATAATCAACACTCCCCCCCCCAAAAAAAAAGAAAAAATATTTCAGTGAAGATGTGGCAAGTGCTAATCTTGAGCAAAAAAGTAAATGAAAACCACAAAGCCCTAGTACCAGCACACGTTTATGCTCGTGCATGCATACACACACACACACACACAATATTGCTTGGCTAATGGAAAGACCTATGGTCCTTTCTTTACATGTGGCAGCCCTGGAGCCTAATGTGGAATTTTGGGGGGTATGGTCCAGGAGGCCCTGCAAGAGGCTGCTAGGCCTTCAGTGGTAACGGGGTGAGTAGTTCAGCAAAGAGACCTAGGTTTTTGTCAGGTTGGGTTAGATAAGGAATAAGGAATGGGGAAGGGCTTTCCTGGGCTTCCGCTGCCTGAGTCTCCTCTTTCACTGCGCTTCCAGCTGGACAAGCTGCAGAGGTTTATGAAAGGCGACGGCATGGGCATGGCGGATGGAACAAAGGAGGTGAAGACAGGCCCGCTAGGCTTGCAGCTGGGCATTCTCAGGTAGACCGCAGCCCTGCCCATGCCCCCCCTCACCCCCAGCACACTGTCACCCCCAGCAGCGGCTGTGACTTCTGTTTCCCTCCTGCCCCGATCTCTGGCCTGCATCACACCTGCTCTTCAGTTGCCCCTATTTCCTTTAAGAAACTGCTAGAAGCCTGCACCAGAGGCTCACACCTGTAATCAGCTACTCAAGAGGCTGAGACCTGAGGATCCTGGTTCAAAACCAGGCCAGGCAGAAAAGTCCCAGAGATTCTTATCTTCATTTAACCACCAGAAATCCAGAAGTGGAACTGTGGCTCTAAGTGATAGAGTGCTAGCTTTGAGCAAAAAGAGCTCAGGGACAGCCCCCAGCCCTGAGTTCAAGCCCTACTATTGGCACAAAAAATAAACCAGTAGAAGTACCCCCAGGTTCCTAGCTCAGCTCAGCACCAGCGGGAAGGAGTGAAAGATGTTCCTCACAAGCATCTTATTGGAGAATTCTAGTTCTAGCCTATAGATTCTCTGTCTCCGTCTCTCTCTCTCTCTCTGTGTCTCTCTCTCTGTGTCTCTCTCTCTGTCTGGTTGGTTGTAGGGCTTGAACTCTGGGCCTGGTCACTGTCCCTGAGCTCTTCAGCTCAAGTTTAGTGCTCTACCACTTGAGCCATAGCACCACTTCCAGTTTTCTGGCAGTTCATTGGAGATAAGAGTTTCATGGACTTTGCTGCCCAGGCTGGCTTTGAACCATGATCCTGAGATCTCAGCCTCTTGTTTAACTAAGATTACAGGCATGAGCCGCCGGCGCCTGGCTAGAGTTCTTTTTGCAGGGTCCTGGCCCACTGCCTAGCAGGCCAGGCCAGTACACCAGGCATCCCCTGTGGGACAAAAGTAAGGTATTGAACTCCCTAAGTAGAGGCCTCTGGGCAGTGAACACCCTTACTGCCATCATCCTGTGTCCCCCACGGCCAGGCCTCTTCACCCCAGGCTCAGGCATCTGGGCTGGTAGTGAAGTCAGATTGTCTTTCCTGCCTGACAGAGTCACCGTGAGTGACATTGAGAAGGAGCTGGCTGAGCTGAGAGAGAGCCAAGATCGAGGGAAGGCCATCATGGAGAATTCGGTCTCAGAAGCTTCCCTTTACCTGCAGGAGCAGGTGAGTGCCAAGCTCGGAACATTACTTTTTTTTTTTTTTTGTCGGTCGTGGGTCTTGAACTCTGGCCTGGGCGCTGTCCCTCAGCTCTTCAGCTCAAGGCAAGCACTCTACCACTTGAGCCACAGCACCACTTCCGGCTTTCTAGTAGTTTACTGAAGGTAAGAGTCTCACAGACTTTCCTGCCTGGGCTGGCTTCAAACCTCGATCCTCAGATATCAGCCTCCTGAGTAACTAGGATGACAGGCGTGAGCCACAGGTGCCCAGCTGAACATTACTTCTGATAAGCCTTGCTGAACTCCTAGATGGTTTGGAGCGGCTCCTGGCTGCCTCCCTCTGTCTGTCTCAGTTGATGCTGGACCATCATTGCTTTTTGCTTTCTCCCCACACTGCCTCTCCCTGGCAGCCACTTACACTTCTGTCAGCAAGAAAGGAGACACACACATGGGCCCTGGGAGGGTGATAAAGAGCTGATATTCTTGTACTGCAAAGCTCTTCCATCTTGAACTTCATGCTGTGACATTTCTGTCATGCTGGTCCCCCACCCCACTCCAGAAGCACTGCAGGGGAGGCTCCGCACTCTTCGGTCATGATATGGTCTAAATACGGGTCCTTTCAGATCTGAGGTTTTAAGGGACAAAGGCCCATCATGATGCTGACCCCTTCTTCCAGTTCCAGGGACCCCCTTCAGGCTTAGTGACACTGACAAATCACTGTCACCAGGCCCTGGAGAACATTCCAGCCCTTCCACCCAGCTCTACCTATCTCTTTGACTCTTGAGGAGTGGCATTGCTGGCTAGGGATGGAGCACCCACTAAAAACCCCACTAAGAGCCCCCCATGACTAGGTACTAAGGAGGTGGTGACCGCTTGTCTTACAGCAGGGCCAGACAGAAAGCACGATCCAAAAGCCGGGCACCGGTGGCTCACACCTCTCATCCTAACTACTCAGGAGGCTGAGATCTGAGGATGGTGGTTCAAAGCCAGGCTGGGCAGGAAAATCTGTGAGATTCTTATCTCCAGTGAACCACCAAAAAAGAAGGAAAAAGCTGGAAGTGGAGCTGTGGCTCAAGTGGCAGAGCCCCAACTTTCAGTCAAAAAAGGTCAGGGAAAAACAAAACAAAAAGCTCTGGGACAGCACCCAGCACCAGGGTGGAAACAGGCATGTCCGAGAGCCTCGCCCTGCCCTGCCCGGTCTCTCCTACCCCCAGTTAGACAAACTGAGGACAATCATCGAGAGCATGCTGGCCTCCTCCTCCACGCTGCTGTCCATGAGCATAACCCCGGAGAAGCTCCACACCCCCATGATGCCTGGCCACATGAACCTGGAGGCCACGTGCCCAGCCTGCAGCCTGGACGTAAGCCACCAGGTCAGCCTGCTGGTGCAGCGCTACGAGCAGCTGCAGGACATGGTGAACAGCCTGGCCGCCTCCCGGCCCTCCAAGAAGGCCAAACTTCAGAGCCAGGTGGGTTCCTGCTCGAGTCTGTCACCCTGCAGCCGCGCCCTAGGCCTAGACTCTCCAGAAGCGCTCTCCAGGGAGGGACTGAAGCCCCTGGTCCTTCCCAGAGCCGCAGCGAGGGCAGCAGCAGAGATGTCTGGGGACAGGAGACTGTGGGGGTGGCACTGGCTAACAGAGGATGGAGAAGAGTCTACCAAGTGGGGGGAGGGGCAGGGAGAACATGATCGCAGAAGACATCCTGCATGCCAGTCTCCCCAACCCTTTCGGAACACCCTCCCCACACAAAGGGCAGGCTTGCTGGTGGGGAGGGGGTCCACCACAAGTCCTTGGGTCTTGCCTCCGGGTTCCAAATGTAGACTCAGGTGTTCAGCTGTGTGGTTCAGGGAAGATGGCGAAGCTACGGATCACACCTCAACCCTCAGGGGCACGGGACAGCACATGACTCCTGAGCCTCCGTCACTTCCACTGAGCACCCCCAGACCCATGAAGACGTGGGGGAGTCCTGCCCCATCCATTTGGGGAACAATTCATAGTGGGAAATGGTGAAAGCAGAAAGGGGCTGTTGCCACTGATCTGTTGGGGGGGTGTTTGGTCTAGGTTTTCTAAGGCAGGGTCTTGAGATTCAGTCCAAGCTGTCTTCCAACTTAAGATCCTCTGCCCAATTTTTGTGTGTGTGTGTGTGTGTGTGTGTGTCACGGGGCTTGAACTCTGGGCCTGGGCGCTGTCCCTCAACTCTTCAGCTCAAGGCAAGCACTCTACCGCTTGAGCCACAGCACCACTTCCAGTTTTCTAGTGGTTTATTGGAGATAAGAGTCTCATGGACTTTCCTGCCCGGGCTGGCTTTGAACTGTGATCCTCAGATCTCAGCTTCCTGAGTAGCTAGGATTGCAGGCGTGAGCCACCGGCGCCTGGCTTGCCCCAGTTCTTGAGTGTTGGGATTACAGGCACGCACCACCACGCCGGGCCAGGTGGAGTGTCATAGGACAAGCTATCAAGGGCAGCCTTGGGGTTGGCCAGCATCCTCAGACAGCCTACCCTGTGGTTCCTGTGGCAGGACGAGGAGCTGCTGGGCCATGTACAGAGCGCCATCCTGCAAGTCCAGGGTGACTGCGAGAAGCTCAACATCACCACCAGCAACCTCATCGAGGACCATCGGCAGAAACAGAAGGAGATTGACGTGAGCCGCCGCCCAGAGCCTGCATGGGGCCGAGGCCCAGCCTCCCCCTCCCAACCCCTGTCACTCAGTTCTTCATTTCCGGTTCTCTGGGCCCCTAGGAGCTGTATCAGGGCATTCAGAAGCTGGAGAAAGAAAAGGCCAACAGGGAAAGTCTAGAGATGGAGATCGATGTTGTAAGTACCCTGCCTCAGGTGGCGGGGGCGGGGAGGGGGGAGGGGGTAGATCCAAGAGTCTCATGGACTTTCATGCCTGGGTTGACCTTAACCCTCCCTCCTCAGATCTCAGCCTCCTGAGTAACTGGGATTGCAGGTGTGAGCCACCACTACCAGCTGGGCATGTGAACTCTTTTTTTTTTTTTTTTGTCGGTCGTGGGGCTTGAACTCTGGGCCTGGGCGCTGTCCCTCAGCTCTTCAGCTCAAGACGAGCGCTCTACCACTTGAGCTACAGCGCCACTTCCAGTTTTCTGGTGGTTTATTGGAGATAGGAGTCTCACGGTCTCTCCTGCCCGGGCTGGCTTTGAACCGCGATCCTCAGATCTCAGCCTCCTGAGTAGCTAAGATTACAGGCGTGAGCCACCAGCGCCCAGCTTCTTTTTTTTTTTTTTTTTTTTGTCTTTTTACCAGTCCTGGGACTTGAACTCAGGGCCTTGGACACTGTCCCTGAGCTTCTTTTGCTCAAGGCTAGCACTCTACCACTTAAGCCACAGTGCCACTTCTGGCTTTTTCTGTTTATGTGGTACTGAGGAATCGAACTCAGGGCTTCCTGCATGCTAGGCAAGCACTCTACCACTAAGCCACCTTCCCAGCCCTGGGCATGTAAACTCTTGAGCACCTGTTCAACATCCAAGGCCCACACCTGGACCCTGGCATGGCATTCCTGCTATCTCTCATTCTTTCTCTCTCTCTCATGCAGAAAGCTGACAAGAGTGCCCTGGCCTCCAAAGTGAGCCGTATCCAGTTTGATGCCACCACAGAGCAGCTAAACCACATGATGCAGGAACTGGTGGCCAAGATGAGTGGCAAGGAGCAGGACTGGCAGCGGATGCTGGACAAGCTCCTTGCTGAGATGGACAACAAAGTGAGTGTGGGCGGAGCTGTAGGATGGGCGGGGCGGAGCCCTGCCCCACCTCCCCATGCACCTCTGCCTCCTGCTGCCTCGAAGCTAACTTGGTGTCTCCTCCCCAGCTGGACCGCCTGGAGCTGGACCCGGTGAAGCAATCCCTGGAGGACCGGTGGAAATCTCTGCGGCAGCAGCTCCGAGAGCGCCCTCCACTCTACCAGTCAGATGAGGCAGCCATCATGCGGAGGTGAGGCCAGGGAAAGCAGGCAGGTTCTGCTGGAGAGGGCAGGTGACAATTGGAGAGCAGGATTGGAACCTAACAAAGGCCTCTTCGATCCTGGCTGGATCAGATCAACTGTCCCACAGGTGGAGGGACAGAACTTGAAGAGCTGGAAGAAGTCTTCTAGCTGAGGGGCTTTCCATGACAGGGGGGAAAGGGAGTGGGGAGGGACAAGGTTCTCCAGGCTAGCGTGTGCACACTGCCTTGAGCCCTAGGGACCAGGAAAGGTCCTGGTCAGGCTTGAAGCCAAGCCTGGTGTTCACATATTTTGCCACCAGGGGGCACCCAAGGCCTGTGCAGGGTACCCTTAGGTCCTGCCCTCTGCCAGCTTTGGGTGAGGTCCCCGCAGGTGCCACATGTCTGCCCAGAACAAGCGAGGTATGATCAAGAACCAGTCTCCAGGAAGCAGGGCAGGGATCTGCCACCCCGTAGACTGAGTTTTGGAGCCACGGCTTTCCGACTTACCAGCCCGTTCTCCACAGGCAGCTCCTGGCTCATTTCCACTGCCTCTCCTGTGACCGTCCCTTGGAAACACCTGTGACCGGACAGTGAGTACCCACATCTGGCCCACCCCGGCTCCTCCGCCCGCCCACCTGGCCTCTCCCTGGCCTCTCCTCTGCCCTGGGTCTGCTTCCCTCCTGGGTGGTGAGGCTTCACACACACACACACACACACACACACACACACACACACTCACACTCACACACATACACCTACCTTCTCTCTCCCTGCCCAGAACCATTCCTGTGACCCCTGTGGGTCCAAGCCTGCCCAGACACCGGTCCCTCCGCCCCTATACAGTGTATGAGCTGGAGCAGATCCGCCAGCAGAGTCGCAAGTATGAGGGCAGCAGTTGGTATCCCGGCCAGATCGACGAGGAGGGAGTGGGGCGAGACACCAGAGGGCACTTGGATAGGATGGGGTGGTGCCAGTCTTGGGGTCAGATTGGTCTGGGGGGAGGGGTTCCTGCAGCCGGAGGGGGAGTGTCTGCAGGCCTGGTAGTAGAGTGTACCTGGAATTCCATCCAGTCTTGGGCCTGACCCCCTCCCCCACCTGGGCCCCCAGCCTCAAATTGGGTGCCCCCTTTGCCCGGGGTGACCAGATGGACCGGAGTGTGGGGCGCCTGCGTACCATGCACTCCAAGATGCTGATGGACATCGAGAAGGTGCAGATCCACTTCGGAGGCTCCGTGAAGGCCAGCAGCCAGATGATCCGGGAGCTGATGCAGGCCCGGTGCCTCAACCGCCCCTGCTACAAACGGTAGGCGCACGGGACCCAGGCCGCACGAGGCCCTGGCGGCTGAGCTTGGCTTCTGCCCAACGTCTCCATGCAAGACTGTGTGTGTGTGTGTGTGTGTGTGTGTGTGTCTGTTGTGAGTTTAGGGTGGTGGCCACAAGGCTGTTCGGTTCACTCACCCGCCTCTTCCGGGTCCCCTGCTCCTGTCTCGACTCCCATGCCTGGTCCCTGAGGATCCCTGTTGAAAAGAGCTGCCCATCCCCCTCTGGCCAGCCCCACCATGGTGCATCCCAGCTTGTGTTCCCAGTGGCTCACAGTGACCCAATGCTGTCTACCCCAGGGTGCCAGATTCGGACTACACCTATTCAACCATACCCAGGCGCTGTGGGGGCAGCCACACAATCACCTCCCCATACCGCCGCAGCCGTCTGCAGCACCTGCAGGGCCTGATTCCCCATGAGGACATCCAGATTGCCATGAAGGTCGGGGCCCTGTGGGAACCACGGAGAGGAAAGGCCCTGCCCTGCCCTCAGACGCCCAAGTCCCTCTGGAAAACCCCACGGGAAGTCATTTCACCTTTCCAATCCAACTCAGTCCCTCGGGTCCTCACCCGGCAGCTGCCCAGCCAGGTGCTGCCTCTCATGCCAGGCTGGCAGAGCAGCACTGTCCACATCTTCCATGCGGGTGCTCTGCCGTGGTGCACAGTCTCTGGGGAGGGTTCCGAGTGCCACTTGGTGCCAGAAGACAGGTGGTGACCCAGGCCGTCACAAAGCCCGCACTGGTTGCGACGACAATCACAGATATGCATCTGTCTCTACAGCATGACGAGGTAGACATCTTGGGCCTGGATGGACATATCTACAAGGGACGGATGGACATGAAGCTGCCTGACATCCTGACCAAAGACAATAGTGAGTATCTAGTCAGCCCAAGAGCTCCTCAGGGTGCTTGCTTGGGTCTCACGAGATATCCATCTCCTGGCACTTTGGAGATGTCTTGAGCCCCTGTCTTGGGCCAGCAGGATCTAAGGGTCCTTCTTCCTTCTCTATTTCCTTGCCTTCAAACGTTCAGGTTTCTCCAAGACCCAGCTGTCCAGCCTCAGCCCATTGCCTGGTAGGTGGTGGCCTCATCTTTTCTTGCCAGTCTTCATCCTCCTGTTCCACAGCTGAGCTTCTCTACCGCATCGCAGCCAAGCCCTCCTTCCCTCCCGCTTTTTGGAAGTTCAGCAAAGTGCTGTCTCCTGAGTCCTACCACCTGGCAATGATGTGTGCTTTCTATCACTGCCCAGGGTGCAGGGGTAGGGCATTGCCGGTGGCCATGTCTTGTCTTCCTGTTCTGTACCAAAATCCCCTGCCCAGAACTCACCGTACCAATGTGTATAAGCACTCAGAAAATCGGAGTGGATAGACGGGAGGGCGGATGATGAGTAGAGCGACGGGGAGATGTGTGGGTACCGGCAGGGACAAAGGATGGACTGATGGTGGGTGGGTGTGGGAACGCAGCGCTCCAAAAGGGCTCATGTGCCCGGCAAATGGCCTGCGCCACGCCTCAGTGTCCTGGGTCCCCGCAGAGCCCTCTCCCTGTGCTGGGACCGACCCTTGCCTCCGCTGCCTCCTCAGCCTCGGGGATGACAAAGCACAAGTCCAGGCTGTCCCGGGCCCACATCTCCAGGCAGCTGTCCCTCGGCAGCAATGGCCAGCTGTTCTCTCGGCCTCACAGCGCTCAGATGTCCCCTGACAACTCAGGTAGGAAGCTTCCTGCTGGATGGATTGTCCTTCTGGGAAGCCTGGTCTGGTCTGTCTTCCTGCCTCACAGCCCCCCAAGCCCAATCCCTTTCCCATCCATACTGGGTTGTTTGGTTTTTTGTTTTTTTGGGGGGGTCAGTCATGGGGCTTGAACTCTGGGCCTGGGCACTGTCCCTCAGCTCTTCAGCTCAAGGCCAGTGCTCTACCACTAGAGCCACAGCGCCACTTCCGGCTTTTTCTGCTTATGTGGTGCTGAGGAATCGAACCCAGGGCCTCCTGCATGCAAGGCAAGTGCTCTACCACTGAGCCACCTTCCCAGCCCCTCACCCATGCTAGAGACATCAAGGGCCTTTTAGTAGCTGCAGGGTGGGATGGAATGGGAGGAAGGAGAGAGAAAATCCAGTCACTGTGTGCTTAATTGGTGCTAGGTCTGTAGGGTGGACACTCACTGTGCTATTCCATACGAAGGGTGGCAGTCACAGGCTCCAGACCCAAGTCCTTCCCTGCTCAAATGCTTAGCTCGTCAGTCAACCTCACAGGCCCTGAAAGGTCCGAATGGCTGGTAGACAGCAGGGCCAGGCCCTGGGACTCCTCTCCAAATTTGTTTTGTTTTTGTAATTTTGTGTGCCCCTCCTGGGGGCTTGAACTCAGGGCCTGGGCACTGTCTCCCTGAGCTTTTTTTTTTTTTCCCTGGAGGCTAGCACTCTACCACTTGAGCCACAGCTCCTTTCAGCTTTCATTGGTGATTAATTCAAGATAAGAGTCTCATGGGCTTTCCTGCCCAGGCTGGCTTGGAGCCCAATCCTCAGATCTCAGCTGCTTAGATAGCTGGGATTATAGGCTTGGGCCACTGGTGCCAGCTCCACGCCTGTTTTGAAGGCAGTCCTTCCTTCCTGCTCCCAGGCCTGGGAAACACCCAGCATCCCTGCTCTCCCGCATTCACTGGACCCCACTGGAGTGCAGCGAGCAAGGCCTCGGGGCTTAGCCCCACAGGGTCTAGAGTTCTTTGCTGGGACATGGGGCTGGGGAGTTGGGTCACTTGAGGCTGGTCCCACTGTAGACCTCAGTTTCCTCATCTGTCATGGAGGGGGTGCTGAATTTGTGCTGCTTACCTGTCTGAGCTCCCAAGAAAACAGAACGTGCTGATATTCCTCCTCTAAAACAGTCCTGTACCCACAGCATTTTGCAGATGGCTGCAGGAAATTCTGGAATCTCTGGGACCCACACCACACCCCTGTCCCCAGGCTAAGAACCAGAGCCTGCAGGCCATCTTTTCATTCCTGAATTCAGTGAGGGCCTGTGGCAAAGGAGAGGGAAGGGGATAAAAGGTAGCACCGTCCCTCCCCCCCTTCAGGAGGCTGAGATCTGAGGATCATGGTTCAAAGCCAGCCTCCGCAGCAAAGTCTATGAGACTCTTATCTCCAATGAACCATCAGAAGACTGGAAGTGGCACTGTAGCTCAAGCAGTAGAGCCTTGAGCTGAAGAGCTGAGGGACAGCGCGCAGGTCCAGAGTTCAAGCCCCACGACTGACAAAAAAAACAAACAAAAAACAAAAAAAAAGGCAGTACCCCAGCCTTCATTGAGGTCTTTTCTGGCTAGGCATTGTTTGGGTTTACACGTATGAACACCAATGTTAGCTCCAGTACAGCCTGGGGAGACTGAGGTATCTGCCTGAGGCTACACAGCTAGGAAGTGGCAGAACTGGAATTCATGGCCAGTCTGGCCTCAGAGCCAGTTACCAAGGAGAAGGGGCTGGAGGAGAGGGCTTCTGAGGCTTTCTTAGCTCCTTCCCCCCAGGCACTCCACTGTCTACTCCAACGACTTTTAAAATACAGAAGCAGGGGCTGGGAAGGTAGCTCAGTGGTACAGCGCTTGCCTTGCATGCCTTGCATGCCTGAGGCCCTGGGTTCAATTCCTCAGCACCACATTAGAAAAAAGCCAGAAGTGGCATTGTGGCTCAAGTGGTAGAGCGCTAGCCTTGAGCTGAAGAGCTGAGGGACAGCGCCCAGGCCCAGAGTTCAGGCCCCACAACCAGAACCCCCCCAAAAAAATACAGAAGCAGGGGAAAGGAATGGTGTTCAGGAAAAACTTCTGTGCCTATAGGGTGACTATTGTGAGAACAGCCCTTGCGTATGTACCTGTGCAAGTACTGGGGCTTGAATTCAGGGTCTGGATGCTATCCTTTAGCTTTTTCATTCAAGACCGGCACTCTACCACTTGGGCCATACCTCCACTTCTGACTTTTTGCTGATTAATTGGAGATGAGAACCTCATGGACTTGACGTGGTGGGTCTTGAACTCGGACCTGGGTGCTGTCCCTGAGCCACAGCCCCACTTCTGATTTTCTGGTGGTTAACTGGAAATAAGAATCTCAGGACTTTCCTGCCCAGGCTGGCTTTGAACCATGATCCTCAGATCTAAGCCTCCTGCGTAGCTAGACTTACAGGCGTGAGCAATCAGCACCCAGCTCATCATGGACTTGTTTTTTTTTGTTTGTTTGTTTTTTGTCAGTTCGAGGGGGCTTGAACTCTGGGCCTGGGCGCTGACCCTCAGCTCTAGTGCTCTACTATTTGAGCCACAGTGCCACTTCCAGCCTTTTCTGCTTATGTGGTACTGAGGAATCGAACCCAGGGCCTCATGCATGTGAGGCAAGCACTCTACCACTGAGCCACCTTCCCAGTCCCCAGGGCTTTGTCTGAGCTTGCTTCAAACCCTGATCCTCAGCTCTCCGCCTCCTTAGTCTTAAGATTACAGGGGTGAGCCACCAGTGTGGGGCAGCGCCAGCCTAAGCAGGAAGCATTACAGCTTCAGGGCCCAGGCAGGAGGGCAGGGCAGAGCGCCTGTTCACTAGTTGTCATTCGCGAGGATTAGAAAGGGGTTTCCAGTCTTTGCTCACCAGCTCCAATGTGCACTTGCACTGAGCACCCCAGCCCATCAGCCTGGCTAAGGGGGCTGTTCCTGGCTCCCCTAGACTTTGGGCACGCTGGGGTGGAACGTGGCAAACTTGGGAACTGAGGCAGAGCCGGCTAAGTCCCTCTTGTCTTGCAGAGTCTTCTTTGAAGCAACAGGAGGAAGCCTCTGAGGGGCGTTCCTCCCAGGGGGGCTTCCGGGAGACAGAAAGCCTGCCCGAGGCCCTCCAGGGAAGGGCTGCAAGTTTAGGCAAGCCTCTCGCAGACGAAGAAGAGGATGAGGAGCCCACCCGGGGGCCCAGGTCATCTGCCCGGACTCTGTGAGCAGAGCTTGAAATAAATGTTGGGGAAGGAGCTGTGCTTAGCTGAGGCTTCTCTGCGGGCTTTGACCTCGGCAGGATGGAGTGAGCGGGAGGTGGCGCCAGCTGTTGGGCCAGGCCTCCAGGCGGCTCTCATGCCCACGTGCATGCACGCGCATGTGGCTAAACTTTTCTTGGAGAGCAGCAAGTCTGGGGTACAGTCCAGAATCACCAGGCCCCTAGAAGATGGAGCCCTGTCCCAAAGGGTGCTTGAAAGGTCAGCTGTGGCCAGACTCCAGACCCCACTTGGGATGAGCTGGGCCTTCTTCCGCCCTGACAGCTAGTCCAGCCACGCCTTCTCCAGCTAGTCTTTGGGCTGGCCTAAGGCTCACTGAGCAGAAACTGCAAACCCACTCCAAGAGATGGGGGTACAGCTGTTCACTGCTTCCCCCACCGCCGCCCAGACCACACCGCCCCCCACAGGTGCCACCAGCCACCTGTGAAAACCTGCAGCCACCAGGAAGGGGCGCGCTGGCTGCGCGCGGGGAGGCGCTGTGAGCAGAGGCTGGCACGGCTAGTGCCCGGCCAGTGCACTAGCCTTGCCAACTGCAAGGTGAGCCTTTGTCCTGCTCCAGCTGGTGGGCAGGCCTCACTGCTGCCCCCCCCCCATGTTCAAGGCCTGAGGAACAGGGAGAGAGCAGCAACTGCAAGGGATAGGTCCCCAGCACGACCATCACCCACAGAAACCTCCCGGGCGTGGCGTGCCCCCCCACCCCCAGCCAGAGGTTCCCCCAGCAACCACAGTGGCCTCTCTACCTGGGGCCTAGGAAGCCCTGAGTCATCCAGGCAGGCTCTGCGCAGGTTTGTTCAGAATGGCCACGGGGCTCCCCCCATCTCCCCAGTTCCCACCTACCCCCCTCTCACAGGGCTCATCTTGGGGTGTGAGAAGAAGGGGTGACAAGATCACACAGGAAGAGTTCCAGAAACAGCCAAGAAATGTGTTTCTCACCCCTGGCCTGGCGTGGGCGAAGGCGGGCTTGGCTGGGGGTGTCGGGGGGGGTGCCCCCTTCTCCCTCTGTCTGAGCCTTTATAGAGCCATGGAGCACTGGGGTTGGATGGGAAGAGGAGCCGCCTGGACAGTCCCCAGCAGGTGCCCAGCCCAGTGCCCTTTTCTCTGTAAGCAAGAGGCAGGGCCAACACCCCCCCCCCCCCACTCGCCAAGCTCCCATTTCTCTCACCCCAGCCTCACCCTGCGGTGAAATGTCAGGAGGTCGGCTCAGTTTCCCAGGTTCAGAAGCCAAATTCTACAGTGTGGCAGGGCCTTGCCCCACGCCCACGAGAGGAGCCGCAGTCCCCAAGCTGCCCGGCAGCCCCCTCCACCCCATGCCACCCACACACCTGGGCGGCCTCTGGGGGAAGACCCAGCCCACAGGCCTCACAGGGGCTCCCCCTGCGGCCTGGGAAAGCACAGGTGGGCAGAGGCAGGGGCAAGGCGGGGAGGAGTCCCCGGGGTTTTCAACCAGGAAACAAAACCGAAAGGACAGAGCCAGCTTCCAGGTCCATCCATGTCACACACAGGAGACAGGGTTTGTGAGCAGGGGTTCCACTCCACTAGAGGGCCCAGGCGGCCCGGGCAAGAGCGAGAAGATTCAAGGCCTGGAGACTGGCCCGGGGGCTGTTTCACTTCACCCTGGGTCCCACACACCCAGACCCAGGTCTGTGTCCAAATAGTTCTGGGTCTTTCTCAAACCATGAGGAGCAATAGGCCATACTCAGGGGTGCTGGGCAGGCTCCGAATCCACCTCAACACGCAGATCGCGGGCACTGAGAAGGGGCACTGGCCCCAACAGGATGGAAGCAAGCTGAGGGCCTGGGCCGGCCTATGGGTAGTTTCCCCACGGGCTGGAGAGGACACATCTCCTGGGGGGAAGCGGAGCGGGGGGCCCAGCCTTCAGGCTGCCAGGTTCAAGGGCAGCTCTCCCAGGTGCAATGGGGTTTCTAGGACTGAGTGCCAGGGGCTCCAGACAGGGCCAAGCAGAGAGGGCACAGCATCCAAGTCAGGGCACACCCCTACCCCGCCAGCACCACCCAACACCCTGGCGTGGGTGTCCTCCACTGGGCAAAGCAACTCCACGAGCCAAACCACTGGGCCCCTCTCCAAAGCGCAGACCAGCCAGCACCCCACCATCCCCTCCCTAAACCCCAACCAAACAAAAGCATCACAAACCAGGGAAATTGGAAAAGTCTCTTTTTTTTTAGTTTTTTTTTTTTTTAAATTAAAATTTCACCCTGGTGAGATACGACTGGGATTGAACTCAGCCCAAAGGCGGCTAAAAGGCGGCTTTCTCCTGTGTCTCCCCCACCCTCCTGCCCTGGACACACGGGGAGGGGGCGGGGGCTTTGTGGAGCTAGGGTAGGCAGAGCCTCGAGCCACACTCAACAGGGGCTGGCCTTCGACGCCAGCCAGCTCTTCAGTCCTGTGAACCTTGCACACCCCGAAGAGGTCACAAGCAGCAATCAGGGCTGGCAAAGAGATGGAGAGGAGTCCTGGAGACAGCAGCAACAGAACCAGGACATAGCGATAGAGGGGACAATCCCACCATGCCCTGCTGGGACCCCCCCCCACTACAGCCAGTTAATGCTCTTTCCCAGGCCGGAGCAGAAGTCTGATTGCAGGTATGCCTTCTGGAGGAAGCAGCTCAAAACACCCCAACTGCAAGATGTAAGAGCACTTCATCTGGCTGTGAGTCACCCCCTTTCCCCCAAGGTCAGGTTGTCCTTCCCCTCAAACCCCAACACCCCACGAGTGCCAACCCCACTTTCACATACATTAGCTATATTTATATATCCGTATATATTATATATATTAAAAAGAGGGGAAAAAAAACTTGCCCAAAGAAAAACTCCTGCGGGACCCAAGTAGCCCAGGACCTTTACTGTCCCCCCCAACCCACAAAAAAACTTCTTTTATAAAATCTTCCAGTGCGATCTTCAGGAAAACCTCCCCCTCCCTTGAACCCCCTCCCTCCCTGCCCCTCCTCCATGTCCCCACAACCCTGGACTGCCCTCCCCCTCCCTCCCCCGCTCCAGCCCAGGGCCCAGCGGCATCCAGTCTCATCTCTGGCCATCCACGGCTGCCACGGCTTTCTGCTGGGCGCCCCCCTGCTGTGCCCCGGGGGGCCACATGGGCTGTGGGCAGTGGAGACGGAAGGACGTGGGGGAGGAGGGTGGCATCCAGGGCGGCTGGTGGCTGGGCGGGGATGAGGCCCAGAAGGGGCTGAAGTTGGTAGGGGGCGAGCAGGCCACGGCTGTCATGGGGCTGTTGCTGCTCTGCAGACCCTCGGAGGCGCGAAGCTTCGAGAACATGGCCAGGGCGTCAGGGAAGTTCGGGGGTGTGGCAGGGGTGTTGCTAGGAGTACACATCTGTGGGAGGAAACACAGTTGTGGGGAGGGCTGCCTGCCAGCGCAGCGCCGTCTCTCTTGGCCCATTTTTCATCCTACAGGCAGCCTGGACAGGACACGAACCCCCTCCACGCACGGGTTAAAAAAAGAAGAAAAGGCAAACCCCGCCAACCCGTGAGCACCGCAGGAGCTTAGAAGTGAACGCGTGCCAGGTAGCGGAAGGAAATGGTTAATTCCAACCCTAAGCGAAGGTGTTGGATTAAGCCAAAGGACAAGGAGTAGCCCAGGACAGCATTGCCCAGCACTCAGCCACCTGGCTCCCTCCATCATGCTCCCTCAGATGCCCCCGGGGTGTCTGCCAGACCAGACCAGGGTCTCCTCTTGTGCTAGCCCAGAAATGCTGTGCTTCCTTGGGGTAGTATGCAACCCACGTTCACAACCCAAAGACCTCGACTCCACTGCCCGCCTCCCTTTTGGAGGCCTGGTGGGCTGAATTATGCTTCCCATCTTATAAACCAGTTTACCAGGCCCAGAGATCACGCCATGACTGGCAGTGCAACCCAGAGCGGGGATCAGAGCTACCGAGCTGGACTTCTCAGCTTCCAAGCCTATGGGCCTGAGCTCAGAACCGCGCTCCTGGCTCACACTACATTCGTGCTCCGGGGCTCCTAGGACAGGATGGACAGTAGCTAGCCATGCTGCTCCCCACCCCTGGGGCCACCAGCTCTATCCTGCCAGCCTGCCTTTGGCCAGAGGTGGCACTCCCAAGTCTTCTTCCTCAGGGCAGCTCCAAAAACTGCCTTTGGCCCCTCTCCTGGAGGAGCTAGCTACGCTGGGACCACAACGAAACCAGACCTCCAGGCCCGCCGCCAGGCTAGGGGTGGGGACCTGCAGAATTCCCAAGTCAAACCAAAGCCAGAACGTGAAGTGGGGACTCCCACCCCAAAGGCAGAGACGCCTTCAGCTCCCAGGAAGTACGGACCAACTGTTTTCCCAGGAGCCCTTACAGGAGGCCAAAGGACTCAGCCAGAGGTTGGGCCCAACCCAGACACTGTCCTCCTACCCTAACCATTCCCTCCCCCCCACCCCCCTGACTTCTCCTCAGCAGCAGGAAACAATGAATGGGGGGGGGGGGTAAGGGTGGAGGCCAATTGCATCACAGCATCGTGACCGACTTCCCCAGTTCACCCAGCCAGGGAGGCCTGGCCCCTCTAACAGCCACCGGGCTTCAGAGAACAGCCCTAGGTGGCTAACAGGGCCTGTGCCCACCCGCCTGCCTGGGTGAGCTTGGGCAAGTCCATGCATCTCTCTGGAGCTTCTCTCTTGCTTCAGCCGAGCCAGGGGCTGGGGCGAGACTCTGTAATGGCCCCTCTGCAGTTCCCAGCGTGACCCAGGTCTCCGGCTCCCAGTTCACACTGCCCTGCCTGGGCCCCTCTAGATCCAACTGCAGACCGCTTCTTACCAACCAGGGAAGCTCCCCCAACCGTGGCAACCTCCAACAATCTCCGGGACAATCATTTATAAGTGATCCATGCCCAGGTCACATGTGGTAATGCCAGTGTTTTTGTTTAATTTTTCTCTTTGTCTCAAGCTGCCAATTCTTAATTTTTTTTAAAAAATTTTTGGCACCAGGACTGAGGCTACCCACTCTTGCTTGGCTTTTTTCACTCAAGGCTGGTGCTCTACCACTTCAGTCACTACTCTATGTTTTGGACATTTTGCTGGTTAAGTGGAGATAAGAGTCTTTCAGCTTTGTCTGCCTGAGCTGGCTTCAAACCTCCATCCTCAGATCTCAATCTTCTTTTTTTTTTTTTGGTTGGTTGTGGGGCTGGAAGTCTGGGCCTGAGCGCTGTCCCTCAGCTCTTCAGCTCAAGGCAAGCACTCTACCACTTGAGCCACAGTGCCACTTCCGGTTCTCTAGTGGTTTATTGGAGATAAGAGTTTCACGGACTTTCTTGCCTGCTCTGGCTTTGAACCTTGACCCTCAGATCTCAGCCTCCTGAGTAGCTAGGGTGACAGGCGTGAGCCACTCGTGCCCGGCTTTCAGATCTCAATCTTCTGAGTAGCTGGGATTACAGGAGCGAATCACTGGTGCGTGCCTTGAAAGTGCCAACTCTTGAGGGGTGGCAGGGTGTTCTTTTGGGGCTGATGAAGCCCAGTGGTTGTCACTGATGGACACAGGGATTATAAAACCTGCTGCCTTCTTCCAGGGAAGTTTCTGAAGATTACAGGCCCCCTAGGCTTGGCCGAGAAAGGGAAAGTGCTCATCCCAGTGAACCTCCCTGTTCGGGCCCCTTAGAATGGCCGTGTTGTTCCAAATGGCCAGTTGACAGGAACAAACCTCAAGGCTCTTTAGGGGGAGGGAGGAGGAGACAAACCTCAAGGCTCTTTAGGGGGAGGGAGGAGGAGACAGGGAGCTCCCAGGGCTCTGGGAGCCAGAGGATTCCATGGCTGGATGCTGGTGTGGGATCTCCTAGACATAAAACCTCTACTGCGCTTATTAGCCAGGCCTGAGCTGCCAGTCCAGCAGCCAGCCCTGTGCTCTTCCATCTCGCTCTTAATGCCATTCTCCGTTGATTCCTAGGCGGCAGGAGGAATTGGTGAGAAACTTGAAAACAGGGTGCCAAGAAGAAAGCGGCACAACACATGGCAGAAGAGCCATATGTGGTCTCTGCCTTGGAGAGAGCTCATTGGCCAAGGACACCAAAAAAGAAAAAAAAAGCCCAAAATGCACTCTGAAAACCACAGCAGCTCTCAGGGAGAATGAATGTTTTACAACCCCCCACCACGGAGCCCAAACCCTTCCACCTCACGGGGCTAATAGGTAACCAGGGGCTGGGATGGGGGGGTGGAGTGGAAAAGGGATAGCCCCGGCCTCCAGAAAGCAGGGCTGTAGCTAGCAGCCCCGGGCCAGAAGGGCAAAGGCTCCTGCCTGGGGCCAGAACGGAGAAGAAAACAAATCCAGCCGGAGCCAGTAAGGTTTCCTGAACTGTGTGGAACCTTCCTTAAGATAAAAAGTAGATTCTAGGCCTTATCTTGGGTCAAAAATCTGTCTGCCTGTCCCAACCGGGTCTGTTCCCTGAGAAGGACCAGCATACCTTTGTGGCTTCCTGAGCCAGGGTGGATTTATATTCCCTTCCCCGTTTCCTGTGGGGCTGGGGGGGGGGGGAGGGGCTGCGCTCGACGACCCCCACGAACCCCCTCTGCGCCCCTGGATGTGTCAGCTCATCCTCCGCGGCCCCCTCCCCAGGCCCGGCTACCCGGATCCCGAGCCCCCGTTAGTCCCCGGGGTCAGGATCGCCCCTTCCTCCTGTCCCCTCATTCCGGCGCCCCCCCCCCGTCCCTCCCCCGCCTCCAACCGGGAACAGCGCCCCGGGTTCGGCGTCGGCCCCGGCGTCGGCCGGGCCGGGCGGCCGGGAGCGCTCTTTCCTGGAAGACATTTTGGCTCTTTGTTTACATTCGCGGTGCGGCGCTCCCCGGCAACATGGCTGTCACCGCGGCGCTGACAGCGGCCGGGCCGGCGCCCCGGCGCCCCGGCCCCGGCCCCGGCGGCCCCGGCGCCCCCGGCCCCGGCCCCGACACCCCCGGCCCCGACACCCCCGGCCCCGGCCCCAGCGCCCCCGGCCCCGGCACCCCGGCCCCGGCACCCCCGGCCCCGGCCCCGACACCCCCGGCCCCGGCCCCAGCGCCCCCGGCCCCGGCACCCCCGGCCCCGGCGCCCCCGGCACCCCCGGCCCCGGCACCCCCGGCCCCGACACCCCCGGCCCCGGCACCCCCGGCCCCCGGCCCCGGCACCCCCGGCCCCGGCCCCGGCATCCCCGGCCCCCGGCGCCCCCGGCCCCGACACCCCCGGCCCCGGCCCCGGCCCCGGCACCCCCGGCCCCGGCCCCGGCACCCCCGGCCCCGACACCCCCGGCCCCGGCCCCGGCCCCGGCACCCCCGGCCCCGACACCCCCCGGCCCCGGCCCCGGCACCCCCGGCCCCGGCCCCGGCCCCGGCACCCCCGGCCCCGGCACCCCCGGCCCCGACACCCCCCCCCTCCCCCCGCCGCACTCACCATCTGCGGGGGGTGGTGGCTGCTGGGAATGTTGCTCTCTTGGAAAAACGTGCTCAGGGCGGTCTGCGGACAAACACGGGGCGCGGCGGCGTGAGCGCGGGCCCGGCCGGCTCGGCCCCGCCGGCTCCCGGCCCGCGCCCCCCGCGAGCCCCCGGCCCCCGGCGCCCGCGGCCCCCCGCGCGCACCTCGAACTGCCAGTGCGCCGCCTGCAGCAGCTGCTTCGCCTGGTCGGCCGCGCAGCCCGCCGCCAGCACGAACTGGTTGATCATGACCTGGTGCCTCAGCTCGTCCATGTTCACCGACATGGCGCGACGCCAGGCCCGGCGCGAGCGGCCGCGCGGATCCGGGGCTCGGCGGCCCGCGGAGGCCTCCCTCAGCGCTCGCTCGCCGCCGCCGCCGCCGCCCCGGCCGCCGCCGCCGCCGGGCGAATGTTGTGGTTCGACTCCCGCGGCCCGGCCGACACCACAAACAACGGCGCGGGGCGGGGCCCGGGTGTCCCAACGTTCCGGGGCCTCCAGTCGCCGCCGCTGATTGGTCGGCGCGCCGCTCCGCCAGCGACGGGCTCTCAGACGGACGTGCGATTCGAATCCTGCAGGCGACCCGGCAGCTCTGTTTCTCTTTTCGCCGGGCCGCGCCCATTGGCGGAGCTCAGCGCCGTGGGGCGTCTCCGCATTGGCCGGCTGCTGTGTTTTGGCCCATTCTGCATCGGGATTGGCCGAATCCGGGCGGTGGGGGCGGAGACGCACGTGTTGATTGGCCTACCGTGGGGCTGTTTGAACTCAACTTGAAAACCTTGAGTGGCTGGTGATTGGCCGGGGCTCTTGTGTTTGCTGTTGTAGACTTGGCGGGGGGGGGGGGGGGGGGGGGGGGGGGGGGGGGGGTGCGGCCAAGTTCATTCATTACTTCATTGAAACTGAACGTGCTCAGCTGGAAAAGCAAGACGGAGTGCCTTTGACTCATTTCCTCTGAAAGATGTGGTCATCTCGAGAAACAGAATGATCAAAATAGAAAACACAGGACTTCTCCAGCGGCTCCTCTCAAAAGTATTTAAGTTTTAAAATAACTTCCAAGAGTCTCTAGTTTGTTTGTTTGTTTTTTAACAAGTGCTGCAAGGCTTTGGTTAAATTCCCAGCACCAGGAACGATTTAGAAGGAAGGGAGGAGGAGGGGGGAAAGAGGGAGGAGGGGGGAAGAAGAGGGAGGGGGAGGAGGGGGAGGGAGGGAGGGGGAGGAGGGTGCTGGTGGCTCACATCTGTAATCCTAGCTACTCAGGAGACTGAAGTCTGAGGATCATGGTTCGAAGCCAGACCAGGCAGGAAAGTCCGTGAAGCTCTTTATCTCGGATTAACCACCAGAAAAGCCGGAAGTAGAGCTGAGTGTTAGAGCACTAGACTTAAGAGAGAAAGCCTCAGAACCAACACACACACACATACACACACAGGTTTTTAGGCCCTTTCCAGCTCCTTCCTAATCACTACCCATCACAAAGATGGAGCACTCTTCTTCTCGGTTGTAAAACCAAAAGCCTTAATCTCTGGGGATGTAAACAAATAGCTATGTACAACCAAAGTAGCTTAAGAGGAAAAACCACTTTCTCAGCAGTGACTAATATCTCAAGCTGAGGATTTTTTTTTAATTGTTGGACCTAACTATAGCCTTAATTTTTTTAAAAAAATCTTTTTAAAAATAATGAATGTTTATGTACAGGTTACAGGTTCTCAACTCCAGCCCTTCATTTATTTTTAGAGAGGTGTCTCACTGTATTGCCTGGGCTGACTTGGAACTCAGGGATCAAGTGACTCCTCCTGCCCTGTTCCACCTAACCCCACCAGCAGCCAGCATTAAAGGCACGTGCCAGTCAACCCCAGCAAACCTAGACCTACGTGGGTTGAATTGTGTCTCCACCATCTAGATTAGGATTTGACCTTTAGCGTCTTGGTTGGGAATTGTGGGGGTGGAGAAAGACTAGGAATTTAACCAGATTGGCATATGGGGAGAAGTTAGGAAGATAAATACAGCTCACCCTCTGCATTCCAGCCTTCAACCAACCACAGATCAAAAGCTTTTTTTTTTTTTTTTTTAATGTGTGCTAGGGTGCTGAGTCAGTGGCCAGAGCAGATTCAGTGTGAGCCCTGCCTTGAGCTTGATTTTTACCATCAAAACAAACAAACAAATACATGCATGGCTGGGGTGGGGGATGGCTCATGCCTGTAATCCTAGCTACGTAGGAGGCTGAGATCTGGGGATCAGGGTTCAAGCCAACTCTGGCTTGAAGTGTGAGACTCTTATTTCCAATTAACCACAAAAAAAGAAAGAAAGAAAGAAAAATAGAACTGGAGCTGTGACTCAAGTGTTTAGAGCACTGACCCTGAGTACAAAAGCTGAGGAATAGTGCCCAGGCCCAGAGTTCAAGCCCTAGGACTGGAGGGGAAAAAAATCACATGTATGCCTTTTTTCTTGTCTTCACTGAACAACATAGCACATCTACTATTTGCCTTGTATTAGATATTATAGTTAACCTAGAGGTGACTCAAGGTATATGGATGGGTATGAGTAGGTTATAGGCATTTTGTACATAAGGTTCTCTGGAGCACCTAAAAATTTTAGTATGAGTGGACACAAGAGTCTAGAACCATTTCCTCCCAGGTATAGACGACAGTATTGTTGGAGATTTACTGTTGGGTTGCTGTTTCAGGAAGACTTAGTATGTTTTGTTTTAAAATCTGAAACTGCTAATTAGAGTCTATTTTCACTAGTTAGGGATATCTAGAATAGGAGATTAAGAAGAAATCAATCCATGGCTCTATTTATACTTTACCTAAAATGGATTAAACTCTCCCTATAAGAAAACTTGATCAGCCGGGCGCTGGTGGCTCACGCCTGTAATCCTAGCTACTCAGGAGGCTGAGATCTGAGGATCGCGGTTCAAAGCCAGCCCGGGCAGGAGAGACCGTGAGACTCCTATCTCCAATAAACCACCAGAAAACCGGAAGTGGCACTGTAGCTCAAGTGGTAGAGCGCTCGCTTTGAGCTGAAGAGCTGAGGGACAGCGCCCAGGCCCAGAGTTCAAGCCCCACAACCGACAAAAAAAAAAAAAAAGAAAACTTGATCAGGGCTGGGAAGGTGGCTCAATGGTAGAGTGCTTGCCTTTTATGCATGAGGCCCTGGGTTCAATTCCTCAGCACCACATATGCAGAAAAACCCAGAAGTGGTGCTGTGGCTCAAGTGGTAGAGCACTAGCCTTGAGCTGAAGAGCTGAGGGACAGCACCCAGGCCCAGAGTTCAGGCCCCACCACCACCAACAACAGAAAGAAAGAAAGAGGAAGGAAGGAAAGTTGATCATCTATGTATATTAAATTTTTTTATTGTTATTATAAAGGTGATGTACAGAGGGATTACAATTACATAAGTCAGGGAAAGCACATTTATTTTTGGACCATCTCTTCCCTTCCCTTGCTCTCTCTTAGTTTTTCCTTCCATATATGCATTTAAAAAATTAATTTAGTATTCTTTGTTGTGCTCATCCTGAGGTTTGAATTCAGGGCCTGGGTGTGTCCTGAGCTTTTTCATTCAAGGGTAGCACTCTACCCATCTAACCCCATCAATGAGAGTCTTACAAACTTTTCTGCCCAGGCCAGTTTCAAACTGGAACTCAGCCTCCTGAGTAGCAAGGCTAACAGGCATGAGCTACTGATGTCTGGCTTTGACCATATTTTTTTTTAAGTATATGAGAAGGAAAATAGGACCACCAATGTTTACTGATCTAAAGCAAGGACAGGGGATGCAGCTCAGTGGTAGGGTGCTCGCCTATTAGCCAGGAGACCCTGGGCTCCATCCTCAGCACCTCAAAAAGACAAGAAAAATAGCTTTGGGCACTACAATGACTAAATCCTCTTGTGTTTTGCTTTTGGATTGTTTGTGTGTGGAGGGGTAGGAGTCTTATAATTGCCCTTAGACACTCCAAGGTATTCAGAGGCTGAGCCCCTGAGTGTAGCTGGAGGAGCTGGTGTAATTGTTGCTCAGAATCTCTGGGGGATGGATGCCAAGACCTTCTAATAATATCAGAATGTGTGGACATTCTTCCAGTCCCTTCTATAAAATGCTATAGTATTTGCCCATACCTCTGATAGACTTTAAGTCATCTTTAAACTTGAGCATACCTAACATGATATAAATAGCAATTAGGCTGTATTGTTCAGGAAATCATAAGGGAAAAAAATCCTCGAGTACATATCCCATGCAGATACTTTTCTTTTCTCTCTTTCTGAGTATTATTGATCCCGGGTTGACTGAATCTCGGGGAGTGGAGCTGTGGGAAAGAGATGGCCTTGTATGCTTTCCAGCCCTTCTCTTCCCATCATTGCAAGGGAAAACAAAACATGCGCTGCCAGGAGCTTACACTGCTTGGGGCCCAGGCGGCCTCCAGCTGCCTCAGAACAAGGAAGTACTGTCATTGTGGGCCTCAGGGTTTTTTTACAAGTACATATGGGTGTTAAACATGCCAGGGCCATGAGCACGGAGCTGCTTGGATCTGTTCCATGTAGAGACATTTCTGGTGTCAGAAGAACAGTGGCCCTATAGCCTCTAGAGTTTGATTAAGAAGTCCCGAAGCAATCTGGGTGCCGGTGGCCTCACGCCTGTAATCCTAGCTACTCAGGAGGCTGAGATCTGAGCATCAGGGTTCAAAACCAGCCTACTCAGAAAAGTCTGTGAGAATCTTAATCTCCAATTAGCCACCATAACAAGCCAAAAGTGGAGCTGTGGCTCAAGTGGTAGAGCACCAGCCTTGAGCCAAAAAGTCTGCAGGCCTACAACCCAAGCTTTCAGGAGGCAGAAGTAAGATCGGGCATCCAAAATTCCCCTGGGCTCCATAGCGAGTTCAAGACTAGCTTTCAAAAAGGGTCGCCGAATGCTGGTGGCTCACACTTGTAACCCTAACTACTCAGGAGGCTGAGATCTGAAGATCACTGTTCAAAGCCAGCCCAGGCAGAAAATCTCATGAGACTCTTGTCTCCAATAGATCACTCAGAAAATTTCAGCAGCAGGGGCTAGGAAGGTGGCTCAGTAGTTGAGTGCTTGCCTTGCATGCGTGAGGCCGTGGGTTCAATTCCTCAGCACCACATATGCAGAAAAAGCCAAAGTGGCGCTGTGGCTCAAGTGGTAGAGCACTAGCCTTGAGCTGAAGAGCTGAGGGACAGCGCCCAGGCCCAGAGTTCAAGCCCCACAACCGACAAAAAAAAAAAAAGAAAAAGAAAAAGGCAGAAGTGGTGCTGTGGCTTGAGTGGTAGAGCGCTAGTCTTGAGCACAAAGAGGCTCAGAGACAGCGCCCAGACCCTGAGTTCAAGCCCCAGGATTGGGGGGGGGGGGGTGGTGGGAGGAGGTCCAAAATTTCTAAGCCTGTTATTTCCTGAACATCAGGCCAGTTTATGCCCCCAGGATTGTTTAATGTTTACCAGGTGAGGCGAGGTCCTAAAGCCAGAGGGCCTGGGGCTCTCGCTGTCATCTGCAAATGGGACTCCCGTGCTCCAGGAGGAAGAAGGGAGGGCTGCAGCGCTCGGCCAGTGAGCAGA